GAAAGGTCGTGATACCAGTATGACTATGCGATTTGCGCCGAAGAGGTCCATTTAAAAGTGAAGAAAATAAATCATTGTAAATTAGAAAAAAAGAAATTATCGAAATTTTATGAGAAAAACATCTGGTCAGACAGGTATTGAAGATAGACAACCCTTTCTCACAACAAATACACAGTATTTGAAGTAATGGTTACAGATATAAAATATAATCGACTCTCACGATGTATCTCTTTGTCTCAAAACATGGTTTTGGTGTCGGCCAGGATGATATTTGATGGCTCACCCCATTGTTTGGACTCATGGTATAAAATACAGAGGCCACGTCTTATCACTCACATGAAAGATCTTGCGTTGGATATTGTCGTCATTGGATACCTAGGGTGACTATCAGATGTCTGTCTTTATGGATGTGTGGCTCAATTGCGGTCTAACTGAAGTTCACAAAACATCTTTTATTCATTTATGCAAGACACTCGAGGAAATGTCCTCGCCTAACAAAGCAATCAAAAGTCTGCCGGTCCCAAGTCGGTATCGGGTCCGTTCGCGCCCAATACACGTTCGCACCCTAAACGTTCGCCTCCTGGGTCCGTTCGCACCTTTTTTTTTATTCAAAAAGCTGATGAATGATTAGATGTTTTTTTAGATGTTTATATCAAAATATTTTATTTTCACAAATAACAATTCGGGAATTTTTAAATGAAATATTGTTTGAAATTGATTTGATGATTAATTATTATATGTAGTTCAGTGGTTGTCGTTAATTCATGTGTGTCATATTTGTTTTTCGTAAATTGTTTTGTTATAAATTAGGCTGTTAGTTTTCTCAATTGAATTGTTTCATATTTTTCTTGTTGGCCGACTATACGGTATGGGTTTTTCTCATTGTTGAAGGCCGTACGGTTGCCTATAATTGCTTGCAAACACTTCCTTTGAACTTGGGTGGATGGTTGTCTCATTGCAATCATACCACATCTCCTTATTTTTATATCAATGATATTACAATTGATTAATTTGTGTAATCAGTGTATTCCAATTGGTACTTGTTAAGAGTTCCTGGTAAACCGACTCGCTCTTGTATTCACATGAAGTGAACTTTATGTAGATTTAAGCGACAGTAGTTTACCGATTCCAAATCTCGTAAACCGATTAAGAAGAGACAATTCGAAGTACTGTAAATTCAGAAATTATTGTGTGCATTTATTATTGCGAATTTTCAAGAATGGACTAAAATGCGAGATTAATTATTGCGATTTCAGGAAAGTCTGCATTCAGTTATATGTATCAGATATCAGAATGCGAGTTTTTATTAATCCGGTACTCATTCAGTCACATTATTCGCATTAATAAAAACCTCGCAATAATTTCTGAATTTACAGTAACAAAAACATTTGAGGGAATCCTAAGAACTCCAAAAGCCAAAAGGAGCGAGACCGGTGCGTCCATAGGGTAAGTTTCTTCTGTTATGCATGCATCACCAGCCATGCGAATTCACACTCAGTCAAAATATCACAATCAGAAATGGGAAACATTCGGTAAAATTAAAGATCAGACGACTATATTGAAATCTAACGATCTAAGACCGCGAAAACATGTCGCTTATAAGTTGAGACACCGACACATTGTATCGGTCAACCAATTCGTGATTGTGACCCTAAAATTTGGTACTGTAGATTTCAGTTATACTTCCCCATAACTCTGTAAGAACACTTTCTTTGTAAGAAGCAAACCCCTGCTAATGAATTCCGTATAGTGAAAACATGCACGAGCGTAATGTATTAACTGATATATGTAATCTCCATACGATGGTTCAGAGGGTATGTTACTGTAGAGAAATGAGTAGTTGACAATGGGAAAATTGAAATCATCCCTTTTGTCAACTAGTTTGAAGTCGTCCACCTGTGTCTATTTCGAGGAAAAGATCAAGATATGAAGCAGACCTTATATTTACGGCAGTATCCTTAATCTAAAATTCACTAGACTATATGAGATGTAAGCATTCACTGAATAAACTCATCATATTTTAAAATTTTGATCGCCAGGCGCGCGTTCGTTTCGTCTACAAAATACTCACCAGAGACGTTCAAGTTAAAAAAAATTAAAAAGGCCAAATAAAAAACGAAGTTGAAGAGCATTGAGGACCCATAATTCCAAAAAGATGTTTTCCAAATACAGCTAAAGTGATTTATTCCTGGATTAGTGCGTAGTGAAATGTGGGTAATTGGGTGACAGAACATCATCATTATATCTGAAAGTGAAATTAAAGAACTTAGTAGGATGCTTTTTCTTTTGTCGATCAAAAAGTCCAGAATTTTGATGATATCGACTTCGGTGTATTTTTAGTATTTATAAATGAATTAATCGAAACACTCAGGTTTTTCTACCCTCAGGTATAGATTGCCATAGCTTTATTTGGTACAACCTTTTTGAAATTTTCGGTTTTTAATGTTTCCAACTTCTTTTTGAATTGGCCTTTCAACTGTTTTAATTCGAGTCTAATGTAGACGGAACGAGCGTCTGGCGTACACAATTATTAGCCTGGTGTCTTCGATAAATTTTTACAATGACTGGGTCGATGCCACTGCTGGTGGGTATTTCGTCCCCGAGGATATCACCAGCCCAGTAGTCAGCACTTAAATGTTGACATGAAATATCATTGACATGTTCATTCCTGTAAACTTACTGTTTATAAAATTTGGTTTATTGGAAATACTTAGGTTTTTCCATACCCTGTTTTTATTGTCCATTTTTATTTGACACAACATTTTGGAATTTTCTGTTTTTAATATTCTTTAACTTCGTATTTGATTTGGCCTTCCAACTGTTTTGATTATAGCGTCACTGATGAGTCCGTTATGTAGACAAAACTCGTGTCTGGCATACATATAAACTAATCATAGATACCAGGCTTAAATTTGTGTACGCCAGACGCGCTTTCCGTCTACAACAAACTCACCAGTGACGATCGAATAAAAAAAGTTAAAAATACCATATAAAGTACGGAGTTGAAATTAAAGCATTGATTACCGAAAATTCAAAAAGGTTTTTGGCGAATACAGTTTAGGTAAAACATTCCTGGGGTAGAAAATCCTTAGTATTTCGAAAAGGTTTGTAAACAGTTTATATTTCATTATAAGACTCGTCAGTGGAGCTCGAATAAAATTTAGGAGACAGTAGTTAACCGATGTTCAAACCAGTTTGTTGATAAAATAAAATACAAAGTTGAAAAGCATTGAACACCATTAATGTCGAAAGGTTGTGCCAAATACGACTTCAAGATATTTATGCCTGTGGGCGGGAAAACCAATAAAACGGCTTGTAGGCCAAATCAAATCAACATCAAATGTTGTAGAACATTGAAAAAAACTAGTTTCGTGCTAAATACAACTTTATGCCAACAACTAGAATAACCAAATTTCATAAATGTAAATTCTCTAACTCTTAAAGTTCACTTCACTTTCCTTGAATATAAAATTTTGAAATAAAAACACGGTTTTATGACAACGGACAAGACTTTACCAATTGAAACAACACAGCTATTGAAAAAATAATACAACATTGAACAATCAAAATTAAACCAAAAGCAACACGACTTAATTCAAATCAAAACTTCGGTTAACTCAAGAGGCCAGGAAGTGAGTTCCTAATCTATTAGTTCCACCCGTCGTGTTACCCAGGGCAAGTATCTTCCGATCATTAATCACATTCTGTAGTTTCGGGGACATTGTATCAACTCGGGAGATATATACTTCATATGCATGTGCTGTTGGAGTGTTGTTACATAGAAAAGTAAACTTCACAACAAGGAAATTGACATCATCACTTTAATATATTGATATTACATCACTCAATAGAGACAAATCAAAATATGATTTCCAACATCATTTGATTCTGACGTCAGTCAATAGCATGTGATGGGGGCCAACTGATAAAAATAAAACACATATGGTACGATATTGTATCACTTCTGTTGAAATAAATATGGCATGCTAAAACCACTTTTTTTTATCAATACTGCATGTACAGAGCTGACCTATATTTTAGTTATTGTTCTTTTAAGCACGTTATCCTTCTCATAACGAGATACCTATCAACATACCAACGTAGAGATATAGCAATGATATATAATATACAAATATCTTTGGTAATGTTTCTTGTTTCAATTCTGCAGCATATATCAATAAGAACGATTTTGGCACCAATTCTCATGACCATCTAAGCATGAACGAGCGGAATAGAGCTTTTTATTAATCCTACAAAGCATTAAAGTTTGAATTACCTAATTTTTCCATACCAAAAGGGTAAGTGGAATTTAGAAATCTGGTCAAATGGACCTTCATAATTACATAAAGATAAGCACAAATGGGGCATCTGTGATGTTTAAATAAGTAGATGGTCACCATGGTGACAATAATAGTATACATTGTGTTGAAAATTGTCATGCTCTCAAGTTTAAAAACCCTGGAAAAACTTTAAGGAGTGAGAAGGTAATTTGTCAGAAGACAAATTTCTACAAATTCATAAGTTCTCTTCCATTCTAGAAGCAGTCCAAATTTACCAAGCTTAACTAAAGTAAATACACTGCAGAAGATACCTTACCTGATTTATTTATATTATCCATGGACCATGTCCTTTTACTTAAAATATGTAATATGAGTAGGCCACATATTTTGTATGATTAAATTATAAACTTTCCATTATAATAAGTGCAAACTGTTCAAATCATTATCAAGCCCAAGACATGAAGTACTCAAGAAAAAACATGCAACCATTAGATTACTGAGTTGGTTCCAATTAATATACATCCAACATATATGGACCATGTTAATTAATATATGTAATATGAATGGACCACATTTGTTGTAGGGACACAAGTACTTTACCCTATACACTATAATGCAAACTTTCAGAACCATTCTGCAACCTTTTCAGTGAATGGTGGTACAGAAACATAAATTTCTATTCAATCTTCTGGGAAAAACAAAAATAGTACAACAATACTATCAGATGAAAGGTTTTTTTATTCAAAGAAATAAAACTGACATTTGTGCTTTTTTTTCTTTAACAAATGAATGTTAATTACTGTTTAGAATATGTAATGTTAATCCAGTTATATTTCAACTTGTATTTTCTCAGGTTTTATTAACATAAGAAAAAGGAACCATGCAAGGAAATATATATGTATGCATATATTCAAAGGAATAATCAAGATGTATGTATTACTGTTAGGAAATTTAAGATCTAAAGTACTTGAGACAGTTATTTTAACAATCAGAAATGACACCTTCACTACAAAATTTCTACAAACACTATGATAAAATAAAAAAATAGAAGTATTTACTGTAAATTCAGAAATTATTGCGATGTTTTTATTATTTCTCAATATCGCAAAAATTAAAATCGCATTATAGTCTAAAATGACAAAATCGCAATAATAAATGCACGCAATAATTTCTGAATTTACAGTAATAAATGGCATTTACTCACAATAGTTTTGTGCAAAATTTAAGTAGATTGAAATTTCAATATATTTTTTCGTTTTTCTTGCAATTAATTTTGATTAATAAAACTTTAAGTTGCAATTATTTCATTTCTTGAAGTTAAAATAAACCATGATAAAAGTAACTTATAAAAAACAAATAACATTATCAAAAATACAAAATTCAAATACAAGGAAAAAAACCCAATATAAACAAAGTGAAAATATTGCAGATTAGAGTTCATCATGGGCTTGAGTTGTTCCTCCTGCAGGCTGTGAACATCTACATGGTGTTTCAAATTCAAAAGCATATTCACATCTACTGGGTTCACTGGAACTTAACAGTCTGTGTTCCAAACCACATTTTAAATGTACCTGAAATGAGATTTAATCAGTCATTTAATAGTACCAGTATTCCAGAACCAATCTTTTTATTCTACCATTTATTTTTAAATAAACCTGCTTTTGCCAGGCCCCATTTACTTCATTTATATTTAATACTTACTTTTTATAAGTATCTCGACATTTTGACAGGTGTTGAAAAAGGAAAATATATGTATATAAAAAACTTAACCATGCTGTTTTCATGCATGTAGTTCATTAGAATAATTGCTAGTTTTGTTTTATAGGTCTGTACCATTTCTATAAAATGTAAGTAGATTCATTGCTACTTTTTCTGTTAGTGATACTGTACAACCAATCAAATTTATTTTTCAAATATCCAGAGTATTTTGTTTGTATTTCTTCCAATTAATTTGTTTTTATAGGGTGTTATCCATTACTGCTATCTGCATTTTTTTTCTTATAAATACAAATATTTTCCTTCAGTGTACATTAAGAAGCTTCAGTAACTGGAACAGTCTCATTACTTAAGCAAACTTTTGTTTTGGTGTATGACTTATGCAAGTTGCACAAAATTAGTTCACTATTTTCACTGAAGTAGATGGACAAAAATTGATGAGTAAAATTATGTTTTATTCTTCATGAAACCTAGCATTATCATATTTTCCTTTGCTATCTATATTTTAAAGATGTGAAAAGCATTTAACTAGATTGCATAAATGTTCAGCATTTTTTTTTAACAAATGCCACAGAAAAAGATAAACTTACCTTAACAGATCTATCTGGACCATTCCAGCAGTTCTGTCCCTTCTCATATAACTGAACAGAATATTTATCATTTTCGGGGCCAGCCCAATTTCCCCAATTCCTAAAAAAGGAAGATATATTACATTCTTTTAATTTCAAAATAATGAAATGCATACAGAATTAAAATCTGACAAAGTATTTTGTGCCAAGAATGATTATCTAGCTGAGAAATAAACACATTTTACACACATAACCAATGGTTTATTAGTTCATGCAAAAAAAAATGAAGAGAAATTTGATGTGCAGAAAGGTTGTCTAGTTGTAAATGACAAACATATAATATAAAAAAATAGTTGTATGGAACACACATTCATGCACAAAACAGTTGTATAAAACTCATTTTGTGCACAGAAAATTTGTTTTGTTTATAAAACACTGAAGTAATTGAATAGCTTGCATTACAAACTAGAGATGTCATCTGTAATGATCAAATTTTTCACAGTTCAAATGTATGAGCATAATTAAAGAAAACCACCTGAGTATCCTGCTTGCCTTGAGTGCAGAAGGTCAGGGGTTCGATATCCAGCTTGGATGCTTCTTGCTAAGCACATGTCATTTAGGAGTAAAACTATACACAGGTCAGCTAGGAGTCAGAATAATGTGTTCTGGTAGGATGACATGCTCTGTTGATTGTTACCTTGTGAACTAGCATGTATCAAATCTGTTTTAGTGTGTTAGTCTTATACAAAGCAGGGTTCATATTCATATCACATTTACTTCCTAATATGCATGTTATAATTGCCACTGGATGGTTACCACCAATCAATCCAACAATCATAGTTAGAGATAAAAGAGAAATGAACTATTCTAACCAGAAGCACATCGTTGTATCAGGTTCTCATAATGTGCCAAATTTCATGTACAATAAAAAACAAAAACGTGTAGTTTCAGGACACGAGTTGTTAACCTTACAATGGTAAAAATTTACAAGTTAATTGAAGTATTACAATTTGAAAACTTAAACTTATCTTATCAGAATAAAATTACACCACCAAACAAAGCATTTAGAAATTGAGGCCATAGTGAGCAATATTATACTCAACATGGTCAATAAAACTATGTTCAAAGGGGCATAACTTTTAGTTACTAATCCTTTCCATATACATTTTACCTGTTCAATCTAATAATGTGATTAGTTTCATGAAAATTTACCAATGTATGGACTGATAAAAAAACATCTTGCATCCTGTATACTTCATAAACTTTGTTTAAGGAGGTATCTTAAATGTATCTTATGTTTTTTCTTCTATGTTAGAAAAAGTTAGTTTCATCCAAATCTATTCATAACTTATACTTGTCTGACAATTGAATAGCAGATCTTAAATCTTCATAAACCATAAGATTACATACCCTAAACTAGTTTCATGTCCACCACTTTTAGGTCGCTGTGATCCCTTTGAAAATGGACAGTATTTATATGTATATTCTCTATCTGTATATTCAAAACACTGATCTTGTAAAATTGCATATTCTCTATTTGGTCCATAATCTTGTTCTAAATAAGATTTTATAGATCTGAAAATACATGAAATGTATGGAAATAAATATTAGATTAAAAAATCATTTTATTTATCTTATAGATGTGTTATCTCCTAAAATGGCTTTCGTTTGTTAAAGAAATCAATTGGTTTTCTTGAGATGAAATTATCTATTTGATTCTTCACAGAAAAATAAGTACACTTTAAAAAAATATCAACTAACAGGAAAATCCTACATATGTGATATCAACACCAGAAGACCTGTAATTGCACAAAATGTCCAGCAAATATAAGAAATGTATAATTTGTCCAGTAAAACAGACAGTCATTCAGAATATGCAAAACATCTTTGAAGTTCAAAAGGCACATCTTTTGGAAAATCTTGCTCATTTAAAATCCTACTGGTAAACAAATTAATACTGCACGATACCTCTAATGATTTCCTGCCACTTTTTATATGTTGTTGGTATAACTATTTAAATGATCATTTCTTACATAAATCAGTCCCATAATGAAATACATCAAAACTAAGTGTTCTATAATAAGTAATGATGGCAATGCTGATATGGTTGGAAAATCCCATACAAATCATTATAAGTTTGTTGGAAAATCCTACACAAATCTGGAAAATTTGTTGGAAAATCCCATAAAGATCTAGATAAACTGATTGGAAAATCTCTTACAAATCATGAAGTCAATTTGGCAAGAGGATTCATGAAAAGTTACAAAAGCATTAACAGATATGAGAATAGACAATAACTTTGGCATCATTTCACCATCTTCGTAAATCAGGCTAAAAAACTTACGAGAGTTCATTATCTAGTTCTTTTAATTTACTGTTGGCTTCATCATAGTTCTTTCTAGCTTCATCAGCAGCTAAAAAGTAATAACATTTTAAATGATTAAATATGTCCTTTTACAAAATTTAGAAGTTGCCACATTTGTTTTTCTTACATCTGAACATTTAGACACAGATCATATTGACATATTTTATATGTGTAAACTAATACAGATCATATTGACATATTTTAGATGTGTAAAATAATATGCAGATTACCAACAAAATAATTTTAAAACAAGGATTGAACTGTCAAATTGCCAGCAAACTGGATTTTCTGTATTTTGAAAGGCACTTTTAGGATTTTTTGACCTGCCACATTCTATGCCTTTTTTCCAATTCATCAAGGACCATAACTCCTGAAGGCCACAAAAAAAAATTGTCAATATCGAACTTGACCACCATTTTGTCATCAGTAACAGCATATGAAAATTTTTAAGAGCAGTGGCTGAACAGTTCATAAGTAAATGCACAGAAACAACATTAAGTGCCATTTTCCATTTATCTATCAAGAACCATAACTCCAGGACGGCAAAAGTGAAAATCATCAATAAAAATTGACTTCTATTCTGTCATAAGTAACAATATATTATAATTTGAAAACCATTGGTACAGTTGGAAAGCAAGTCCTTAGAAACGTCCGTTGTGGTCAAGCGCTATCAGCAACAATAGCAGGGGGAATTAATTAGGTGGCGCTACAGTCTTCCGTGACGTCAAAAAGTCCGCCAAATCAATCGGCTAAAAGATTGACATTTAAAGTATTTATTTCAACTTGTCATGCTTTTATTATAATTGAATTTTAAAATTTGTAGGTTTTGCGACCAATTTAGATTCAATACGTCATACAAACATTATCAAAAATAGCTTGTTATTACTATTTCTTTATCCTGTCCGTTCTAAAAAATTTCAACCATCTTTTTTGTTCGCCAAAAACATCGATTTTTCATAACTTGATGTTTGCGTATCCAAATACGGAAGAGAACGGTAATAATCTTAAATGAAACCGGGTAAACTATTTCAAATTTCTACACAATTTTGAAGCCATCATTTTTTACTATGATACATCAATTTTGATGACCACCAGTCATGTCAATTTGTACCTGGTTTTGGCTGCGTTTCTACTTCAAAACAGTAAAGTTCAACTTCTTTTCATTGTACCTGTTTCCAAAGTACTCTCAAATACTGATTTTATTATAGATATGAATGAAATTGTGATTAAAAATTGTTGTTTTTCACAATTCCATACGATACCTCCATTTTAAAGTAATTAAAACCGTTTTTGATCCCCTACACAAATTGACGGTGATATTGTTTTCTTTTTCAACATACGTCATATAACGTTTACAAAATATGTGTCAGGGTCATGTGCATAGTGAAAATTTACACATTGGACAAGTGAAACAACAAACAAAGTTCTTCTTTATGGCGTTTGAAACTATAGGTCTAAGAAAATTTCATTTATACTGGAAGCAAATATAGCAATAGAAAATGCATTGCAAAGAAAATTTCTGGAGGAAAATACAAATGAAAAATGAAATGAAGGTCAGTTAATTATATTTATATGTTATAAGTTAAAAACCTTGCTTATTAATTATCTCTTTACTAAGTAAGCTACATTAATAAGAGCAAACCCTAGCTTTTCAAGTCAAACAAGAAATTAATTCATAGAGATGTGTTCTTACAAAATTGAATTTATTCAAATGGCAAATTCTTGTAAAATTTAATCATCATTGATCATTATTAAAGTAAAATGCACAAGATTTGTCATACCAATGTTCATTTCTGAGATTAATATCCAATTATTCAGGTAAAATATACAATACTTTGTTTATAAATATGTAAAGCAGCAGATACAGCAACACTTTCATAATAAATAAAATACCCTGAGAAATTGGACAAAGGCTACTGTGCTAGCTAATCTAATAATTGAATTTTACAATAATAATGATTTTAAAATTCAAAATTATGTCACTTTCACTTATAATTTTAAGCATTATTTTTTTACAGAACTTTTGTCATTTTTTTGGTAAACTTTTCCTTTTTCTGTAGGATATTTTCTAGGCAGTACTGTACTGTTCAACTAAGAAACATAGGCTTGAGTTAAAAGGCTTTTTTACTTTGAAGAAACTAAATTTTTACTCTTGGTCCCACTTTATAAATATAAAATATAAATGGTCAGTACTATTTTTTTTTCAGAAAGATTATTTAAATTGTATACAGTATGTTTTATTGCATTACACATTGTTAGAAGTAGTTAAAAAAATCCATTAGGAGTGACCTCATATCCCATTATAAAAATTGCAAACTGAAAGTAAATGTCATCAGCCAGAGCTAATTTATATCAATTCAGCTAGGTTTCTAGATCTAATTTTTACCAATTTTTTATCTTTTAATTTTTACCTGTAATCCTTCTCTGAAAAGCAGGGAAGTATCTCTTCTTAATATTATAATAACATAGTTGTTAATCGAATTTCTTTTATTTTCTTCTTGATTTTTGTAAAATAAACTCCTTTTTATTCATTTTGGTGGGTTTTTATTTTTGACTGGTGATATCAAGGGGAGATAACCACTTGCACAAATCGGCAAAAAAACCACAGCTTTGTGTTGAACATAACTTGACGTTTGCGTATCCAAAACTGTATTACCTAGATATTCATATCGAGTGTTTGTCTTAATGAGATGCTTTATTAAATTTAAATTCAGCCCATCATTTTTAGTTTCCTCGAAAAATATTTAGATTTTTCCATCAGGAGCCTTGACAATTTTCACACAAACTTCAAGTTTGAAGATAAAATAAAGAATAAAGGACTTTGAGTTGATGTGTCAGTTTTGACGAGTTAAAACTATGTATATTCAAGATTATTTTGATCAATAAGTTTTTACCATGACAGTGGTATTTTAGTGAGTAAAAGTGAGGTTTGTCTCATTCGTAGTTTTACTGAATTTTCACGGTCACGTGACTCTATTGTTGCTGATAGGCTTGGGGTCAAACCGTGACCTGCTTTCCAACTGGGTAGAAGGGTGCATAAGTTTTTAATCAGAAACAACATAAAGTGCCAATTTCCGATATATCAAGTGTCATCAACTCCTGAACGGTAAAAGTGGAAAAATGTAATTATAAAAATTGACCCCATTTTTGTCATCAGCATAAACATTTAAAACTTGAAAGGCATTGGTTGAACAGTTCATAAGTTATATCACAGAAACTGTTGACAATTTAAAATATGATTAATACACTGAGATAAAAAAAAAATTGAGAATTTTTTTTTTTTTTATAGAGAATGAAATTTTACATAATTGTATGCCCTTTATGTCAAAATAACTAATTTCTAACCCTTCCATTCATTACTTGACATAGATATAGACATTTGATTTTTAAACCCAAAGAAATTTATGAGTGGTACGAACTTCTTTTGTTGTTGAATATATTTTCATGCAATTCTATAACCTATATGTTATCATACTAACGCCATTTCAGAAATCTATGGTAGTCTAATATTTATATCTGTAATAGTTATTATTATTAAAAAGTCTTTTTCTTATTCTATTTTAATACTTTTTACCTTCTATAAGTTTCTTTGTTTCTTCATCATATTCTGGCATACTTTCTTCATCCTTCTGAAAAATTCAAAGAGTAGAAGGGTTTAAGAAAATAGTATTCATATAACATTTCATCACTACTGGGCAAGAATACCAATTACTGGTAAGTAACCCTTTAATTTAACATCAATAATTTAACAACTATGCTTCTATAGCAGAATCTTTTTAAATCTATTTTTAACTCTGCCCCTGTCCATAAGCAAAAAGTGGTCGAATATAGGATTTCCTTAATGACTACATTTACTATAATGCAGCAATAACTAAACATCTCTACAGGTTATATTTTACATTTCATTCACACTTAAATATATTTATAAATATAACTTCCGATCCAAAGCTCAAATTGTGATTTCTGAAATTTGTATGTGTATGATCAGGTCCACATACAACAAAAATATTATATGGACCATTAGAATTACATTCCGCAGCTATTACATATTGATGTCAAATTCATTTTCTCATTGTTTCAAGTGAAAGCTAACTTAATAATGTTATCTCTCCCGTTTTCCAAATGAAGATTTGTTTGTCACTTGTAAATTCTACTGTGAAACACCAAAAATATAATACAAAATGCTTTAACAAACAAAGTCTACCCAAATATTATTTATTTCTTTATAGTTTATATAAATTCTCAGTGAGCCTTAAATATATTAAACAAAAGCATTAAGTAAAATTTAAGATTTCTGTTCAAGTCATCTAAAAAAAGTTTTGAACACATATGTGTATGTTAAATGCTTTCCAGATTGCCTGAATTCTTGTCATTTAATGACTCTTACAACAACTTACAGATAATTATCATCAATACCATGCTTATAATATGTCAACCTCAACATGCATATCTATAGAACTAAAATGCACATTGACAACCAATCCATGCCAGATTAATAACTAACAGTCTTTAATTTTGCCCCAAAAATCTAAATACATATTTCCTTCTTTTTACCACTATTTATATGTATTTGCTTTAACCATTAGATAAGTTGTAATATATCTTCTCATGTGATCAAATCTTTTGATCATTATATCATGCAGCTTTATCTTTTCCTTGTTTCAATTCTTTTATGCAACAATCACATTAGCATATGAATTCCATCATGCAGCACACAACACAGCCATATAATCAGTGATTATCATTTTATCATTTTTAAATTTGAAACATAAAAAGACCTATGATGCTGAGGTTTCTCTAGAAAAAAAAACTTACATTAAAATTAGTGGCCTAATTGTAAATCACTGCAATATTTTGTCCTGACAGGACCTATCTGACAAAGCCCAATACCTTTATGCAAACATACATTTAAAAACAATCATGCTGGGTTTGGGTTACTGACTACAGCATCATACAGTTTTTATATAAAGTGTCAATTGTCTTGGCAGTCATTGAATTTTGTTGTTTTTCAGTATTGCATTTTTTTTCAAATCAAATACTTTTAAATAAACAGTCAACGTAATGGAAAACATTTCCATAAAAAATTTAGGTCATAGAAGTTAGAGTTATTTCCTTCATACCAAATTACAAAAAGATCAAAAGTTGACAGTCTATGCTACACTGATTGATGCTCTAAGTCATAACACAAATCTAGGAGCAGGCAGGAGTTTCTATCTATCTGACACCATTATACCTCCTCGCTAGGCTTATCAATAATCAATTCTGGTTCCCCTGCCATTCTGCCTGGGGTAGGAACACCAGTAATGGGAACAGTTGGTACTGTTTGCTATTGTACACAAATCTTATGTTACATATGGAACATTATCTTTGAATGTTATACTTTTACATAGATGCTGTACCAGAATCAAAAGGCAATGTGTAAGTTATATTTTATAATACATTGTACTGATATTCCTGAACTACAACTTTATCATCTTTATAGCAAATTCTACTGCACTTTCATTTTCAGTTCCATTTCACAAACATTTTAACTCTAAAATAGCACTGCAACTTTAAATGTCCTTTTTACCATTTGTGTTTAAAGTTGAAGTATTGTTAACCTTTTAATCAACAAAACATGCTAGAACTGTACTATAATATTCAAAAAGTGATATCAACCTGGACTATTCATGTATTATCTTAAATCAGTACCTGTAAACCTGAACCAAAATGTGTATGTTATATGCTCCCATCTAAAACCTCAATTAAAAAAGTATGCAAATAAATGTCAATAAAATGTATGAATATAAAAATATTAGTAGCCTTTCCCAGAGTTAGTAAGCATTTCCATTTCAGCTACACATGTGTGTACTAAACTGAAAGTGAAAGAAGACTCACATCATTGACATCTGGTTCATCTACATCATTGTCATCATCTTCATCCTCATCATCATCATATTCCCCCTCCTCTTCCACCTCATCTGGGGGGGATGGTGGTTCCCCAGGGGCAGGAGGCTCTATCTGTTTTAATTTATGTTCATAAATAATTGTTTCATACACCGATTACATAGTTACTGACTGGAGATTAGGTAAATGAGTATCTTGTTTGACCAAAGACCTTTTTCAATTTTCTTCCCAGAGATGCAAACAGTTTTTTTTTCTGTCAGACATTGGGGCCTACAGGGTAGCAAGTTTTGTCAGACCCAACAATTTTTTGACAGACCTACATATTTTTATATCAGCTTTTTATACAGTAAGAGAACGAAGATAGGATGTCTTTACAGTGACAGCTGCTTTAGTGGATTGTTTTTAGAAAATATCTAAAATTCAATTGAGTTCTTTTATTTAATAATTACTACAATATATTTTTAATTTTTTTTATTGTGTACCACTGAACTGCAGGCTAGGGCCATTCTCCATTTTTTTGACAGTTCTCTAAGATTTTTAATTGATTACAACTTTCTCAGGAAAGTGAGGACTGAAAAGTCAATTCAGTATTAAATTTCCCTCTTTAAAGTTCCCAGTTACAACTCTCATCACATGAATACATGTACTTACAAAAAATCAATCAGATTGATATAAGCTGTGTGCAGCTTGTTTCCAGATCTTACTTTTTGTTATCCTTGTATATTTTGATATATTTGTAAATTGCATGAATAAATATGTTTAAACTTCAAAAAGCAACATTTGAAAATTTTATAATTTTTTTACCATTATGTTGGTACACAAAATTTTGTTTTAATGGAAGACTACTTTTTATATAATAAATGTCACATTTTAAGTGTTCAGATACATTAACTTTTATTTTGGTGGATAATTACTCATCAATTGAGGTGCTCCTTTATTGGAAGAAGATTCGCAATACAGTTACAGTTACAGAAAGAATGAAAACTGCTGTTTCTCTCCCCAATCTCATGTATCCCAATTGTTTACCGCGAAAGTTGACCTACAAAGCATTGATGTTTGAATCATGTGATCTACAGCAAACATACTAACTAACTTTAATTAATAAATTTTCAACAAGGCAAATTTCAATTCCCCACTAATAAGTTAGCACCAAAAATGCTAAATCTTACTAAAATCCTAGAGAACTGTCTGCCGGTCATTAGGTCTTGCACAAAAGCCCAATTTGCCGGACCTGCTCAATTTCTGCCCCCTCGGGCCGACAGGTCTGACGATTAGTTGCATCTCTGTCTTCCAGGTCAAACAAAATTAGTCCTTTACTAATGATCCAGTTAATTTCCACTTCATTATGACCTTCCAACAAATTAATGATTCCATAAATCCAGCCAAATAAAATGCAGACTATAGTAGTCAATCATTAACCATTTACTTTTTAAGGTTATACTATAAATTATATTTTCCAAAAATGTAAGATATTTTATTAAAATGTGTCTGATTTTTCAACATATTAATTATTGAAAGTAATTTTGTTTAAATCATTTGTCTAAATTGGTTCCAGAAATTTGCCTTAAAAGGTTTTTTAAGATTAAGGTATAACAAAACAAAATGAACATCAAATAAAAAGGCATGTACATTACATCTTAAAACTGTTAAACACATGCAGATTAAAATTTTTGAAAGATAAATATCAATTTGAAAAAAAAATCTGTTGAAAGGGAAACAACTGATTTAATACTGTCTAAAAAGGTGTAGAAGATGATGACGATGTTGTTTGTCTGAACAGACGTAACATAACTAATAAAAGTATACAAGATTTCTATGTTCTATAATATATTAATACAGGATGTGTATAAACCTTTTACCAAAAACTGAAGCTGAACTAATACTATTGTATGTATGATATTATGAAGAAAATGTACTATGAATGAACTATATAAAAGGGAAGGTTTTTGCTTCTTTATTTTTACTTGTAACACCAAAAAAAAGTTGTGCATGATTAATTCATTCTATGTTTATTTGTAAAGCTGATCAATTTCAGTTTCTTTTTCAACCTACAGATTAACTGAAAAGACAAAAATCAGATAATATCAAATAAATGGTTTTTAGTTGCTAATGACCTTGGGAAGAAAGTAACTTTTGGGTAACCACTATAAAAAAAAAACCGACCCAACATTTTTTTTAAAATAGGAGTCAACTTGAAAATCGTGGTGAATTTGAAAAGCAATATCATAACAACACAAACATGTATATGTAAGCTTTGTTTTTCTCTTATTTTTTACCAAGTTAAAGTGAATAAGGAAAACCACAATATAATTGGGTGACTTTTTAAATTCATGTATATGAGAGAGCCTGACCATTACATGGTATATATAATCATAGAACAAGAACTAAAAAAACCCAGAAAACTTGATTATAATGAACATGGATAATAAAAATATGTGCTAACACTGAATTGTTTTTTTCTGTAAATCTCTACTGAGAGTAAAACAAATCCCATTTAAATGTTTATAAAACTAAAGAAGTGTTGTGAATGTATAGTATTTTTTAAAAAAGACTGAATTTGCCAACTCTATATTACCTTCAAACTAAAAAACACTTCAGTGAAATAGCACAGTAAAATAAAATTTTCTACAAAATTATTGATCTAGTATAACTATAGATGGAAGTTCTTTATGAATGAGGTTCAAACATGTGGATTTTATATAGCTATCACCACCTTCTATAAATGATACGTATCTTACCTGTTCTGTTTGAGCCTCCTCACCTCTGGCCTCAGTTGATGGATCTACCTCTGGTGGAGGTTCCTCTGTTGATGGTTTCTTATAAATGTCCTTTACATGAGGCCAAATATCTTTGACAAATGTGTCATAATCAACTCTTTCCTTATCCTCTAAATGTTCCTATAATATATATATATAGAATATTAAGAGCATTTGCAAATAGTAAAAAATACTGAAAGTTTGCAAATAATCAAAACTATTGATTCAATTATCAGTTTATAATGTAACCCTATATTAATTGTGTCTCATGTTGTTTTTAAAGTTGCAAACAAATAGACATTTTTTACAGTATTCCTTCTGGTCTTCATAAAGGAACTTAGTTTCATTCCTGGTTGAAATGTGTCACCAGCTTTCTTGTAAATAGGTTATAAATGTTTTGTATTTAGACCCCCCCCCCCTCCAAAAAAAAACAAAAAAACTCGCAAGTTGTAAAAAAAAAAAAACAGAATTGATTAAACAATGCACATCATTTTGCATATTCTAAAAAAAACATGATGATCAATCAAAATTTTAACTGTTATATCTGTTCAAAATGAACCCTTTACAAACAGAAATTTAATCACAGAAAAACAATCATTACGCTTTCACTATAAGTTTGCATACCTTTGCCTCTTCTTCAGACACAACACCATTAGAATCTATATCAAACTCAATGTGGGCTATGATTTCCAGCAATTCAATACTGTAATAAAAACAACAAAGTCAATGTGGTCAATGATTTCAAGGAAGTCAACATCAAGGTCATGTTTTTCTCCAACTGTTAATGATGTCTGCACACTAAATGCATTGGATGTGTACTGATTGATATTTTAGTCTTAAGACACATGATTTTTTATTAGTTGTTATTGGCTTTGAACTAGCTTTCAGTAACTGTGAGTACTCCCAGATCTGAACTTTGTGTCTTTTGTGTTTTTTTTAGGGTTTCTTGTGTGCTTTGTATAGATCTGATGAGTTATGCCCTTTTCGACTAACTTGTATAGTTTGTTCTGATGTTGTACTGTTACACCACTGTCCCAGGTTAGAGGACATTTTAACCTCGCCATATTTTGCATGTGCCTGTCCCAAAGTCAGGAGACTGTAATTCAAAGTCGTTTGTTGCTGTATATCAAATTTGCTTTTCATTTATTGTTTTGTACATAAATCAGGCTTATAGTTTTCACGTTTGAATTGTTTTACATTTGCCATTTTTTGGCCTTTTAAAGCTTACTATGTGGTTTGGGTTTTACTCATTGTTGAAGGCCATATGGTGACCTATAGTTGTTAACTTCTATGTCATTTGGTCTCTAAGTGGAGAGTTGTCTCATTGGCAATCATACCACATCTTTTTAACTTTATGTTGTAATGAAAACAACAAAATCACTACAGGTTATGACTTTCAACAAGTCAATAATAAAAATAAAAAAACTCGCATAAACCAATCCTTGTTAATCCCCTCCCCTGTAAGAAATCAAAAGGCAATAACAAATTTAGCATTAGAGCTTTTATTGTTTCAGACCATTTTATTCATTTTTATAACCAATACATGGAATCACTGGTGGTATTAATATATGTGAAATCTTAATGCTAAGATTGAACAGTTTGAATATGTATCTCCACTAGACATGTAGACTAACCTGTTATCACCATTAGTGTCTAATTCTTTAAAAGCCACTGAGGCTGCTTCAACTTCTTTCTTTGCTTGTCTTTCAGCTTTCAATTCTATAATTCAAATATTTTTCTCTCTCCAGAAATTGAAATTGTAAAGTATCAATATATATGCAAATGGCACTGTTTGAAACAATCAGTATTTTTCTCAATCTAAAAAGAATCTGCTCGTTTATGTAACCTCTCATAAACATTACAAAGTAAGTATGGTTTCTGTTTTCTTACTTATGAGTAAGAGTCATTTACATAATTAATAATAGAAATTATTAGGACATTTGCTCAAAAAGATAATTCATCGTTATTCCTACCAAATTAGCACCCATCATGATTAATCAGACCTGGTTCATGTGTCATCAAGATATATACCATTCTACACTTTCCCTACTGAATTTAAGTTTTTGTGTGATTTCCAACTCTACTCTAGTTTTTTTAAGACTTCTTTTACTTTATGTACACAATTAGTTTTTTGTGGGATTTCCTTCTCTACTTAAGGTTTTTCAATACTTCTTTTACATTATGTTCACAACTAGGTATACTCAGGCAATTAGAGCTTTTCATGTGCTACAGAAACTTTATATCTATTGTTGAAAACCTTTTCATGGCCTATAGATATTTTCTTGTTTAAGCTTCTTGGGTTGCTGTCTCATTGACATATTCTCATTTATTTATGTATCTACTTCATAAACTTAATTACTAACCATCCCAAGCTTTTTGGTGTTTGTCTTTAGCTTCTGTTTCTGGACTTTCAGCTTCTAATTTGGCAGCTGTAAAATCAATTTGTATCCTCATTATTGCCAATATAAATAATTTACTTCAATTTTTCCAAAACATTATATACAATTTTCATAAGAATTACTATCAATATAAATCATATTTATAAAAGTTTTCTTTTTTTCATAAAAGCATAATATCAAAAAATATATTAACCAATACATTTCCCCATATATTATATCCAAATAGAATTTTGAACTGAGACAAATTTCCCTTCTATGAATAAGACTTATTGGATTCATCACAAATGCCAGTACTTGTATTTCCAGTTAACATGCCTACAAATTTCGATCTGCAACAACCTCTTTTAAATAATAGTAAGCTCAAATACAAATAAATCCTTTGAATGAGAAGTGTATGACAATACTTGCTTTCTAATTCTTTAACTGTAACTTCTAAAGTTTCTCTTTCTTTTTCAAGTTCTGCTTGTCTACTCTGAAATTAGAAAGAAAATAAATGGGGAATGTGTCCATGGGACACAGATGATGCCCCCGCTTGCATATCATATAAAGTTATAAAGCGACATAACTGAAGAACAGTAAAAGTGACACTACCCAAATTTGTACTAGATCTGAGTTTTGTGGTAAAAAAAATTGTGTATAAGTTTCATAACATTTGGTTGAGGCAAACTTAAGTTAGAGAACGGAAATAAAAAATTCAGCAATTTTCCCATTTGTAAAGGGGCATAACTCTAGAACGGTTAAAGTGACGCCACCAAAATTCAAACTTGATCTGTGTTTTGTGGTAATAAGCATATGTATAAGTTTCATTACATTTGGTTGAGGCAAACTAAAGTTAGAGAACGGAAACCAACTTTGGGACGTACGTACAGACGGACGGACAAGGCTAAAACTTAATGCCCCCTCCACTACGGCGGGGACATAAAAACATTGATGGAATATAACGTGACTGTACCCAAATTGCACCTATTTTGCAGTTTTTTCACCTAAGTTTATTCATGACCCAGACAAAAGTTTCCATTCTGTGTTTATTTTGTAGATGTATCTTTTTTTTCTACATAGTTACACCAATTCAATTTTGAATCCAAATTGAATCATAGAAAAATGGGTTTGAACCAACCTCCAAATGATCCATGATTCTGTAATGAGGAGTACCCAAATTGCATCAAAGCTTAAATTCACATCCTTAAAAATTGAGTAACAGATGTTTGTTTTATTTCTTCAAATATTTAGAACAATTTGACATTAGTCCATGCTTAGTATTCATTTTTTAAGAAATGGATGTTTGTAACATATTTTATTTGCTCATTTTTAAAAGATGACTTTTTGTGGACGTTGCATGGCGACTTTTCTGTAGAATTTACTGATTCCAGTGAATACTTCATCTGTTGATATGTACTGTGAACGTTTTGTGTATATTTAAATATATTTACCTATGTTGAAAGACGTGTATAATGTCAAATCATAAAAATACAAATTGTTTAATCTCAAAGAAAACTTAAAAAAGATTTCCACTGCTATTTTTGCTGAATAGGTGCAATTTAGGTGCAATTTGGGTACTATGACGTTATAAAGAATAATACTAAAATGTGTATACAATGTATAACAAAGTTTTATTCTCTTGCCCCTTAAATGCATCCCCAGAGCGCGAAATGAATGCTTCAATCTAAGGGACCTCATTGTGACAATAAAAAACAAAACAAAAGCTTTTCTAGTCTGATCCTTACTGACAGACTAAACAAATATTTTTTAAAAAAGCTTACAATCTTCTCCTCATGAACACGCTTGCCTTCTTCAGAGAAAGTTTTCTGTTTCTCGAACCCTTCCTGTTGAAGTTTTCTGGTTCTATCCTGTTCTTCTCTCAATTTCTTTCCAAGGTCCCTGTAACCAAATATGTGGCATAATTAAGCTAGTATTCTTTTCAAATGTTAACATTATCATTTAGGTTCATGTGAATTATAGCCTTCTTTACAGGGCTTCCAAAAAATATTTGTGCCAGCCGGACATTTTTTTAAATTGACAGTGCATCATTCGAAGTGTGCAACATTAGCATACTAATATCTGCCTTAGAATCTTTATTTGTGCAAAATTACGTTGTCTAAATCTTTACTTTCGTTTTTGAAGGTACATTTTCTTATTCCAGATGTTGACTTGACAATGGTAAAACACGGACCAGAGACGGATACAAAAAATCTGTGTTCGTTTTCAAAGCACAATCGAGTTTAAGTGGATACAAAAAATCTGTGTTCGTTTTCAAAGCACAATCGAGTTTAAGTAACTCTTTCCAACGTTATTTCTTCAAGAAAATACTTGAAATGAATGTTAGATAAAGGTATCAATGATAATTTTAGCATTTATGAAGAATTCGGATGCATAATTAAATCTCACAACTGCACACATGCGCATGCGTGTTCTTTGTTCAAACAACGTGGACCTGACGATTTTTTGGCTTAAAACCTTTATATCTACCTTTTAAAATTTTCATCAAATCATATTTATATGCGTATTTTTGATAATTTAAATCTTTTTGATTAAATTAATAAAATGCAAACCGCTGAAATTTACCGATCAATGTCCGGTACATATCAGTTTACCTGTCACATGAACAGGTAAATTTCAACTGTCTGACAACTTATTAACCTTGATTTTAATGAGAGGGTATTAAAGTAGGGTTTGTTTTGATAGTACTTATTCACCATGTCACTTTTATGACCGGAAATGTGACTGTTTAAGGCTAAAGGTCAGGTCAAAAAGATCACAAAAACTTCAATTTTTTCTGAATTGTGTTAAAATGGCTAACCCATGTTAAATGTCCATTTCATGTTTGGCACAAGAAGTCATATTTATAATTTATCGGTTATTTCCGGAAAATACAACCGTTTTGGAAGTCCTGCTTCTTTATAACATTTTCAAGAATGCTGTGTTAATCAATCAAAATGATTTACCAATTATTATCATCATTCTTTTTATGTATAGCTTGAGAGCAGAAAACCTTGCAACCTATTTCTCAAAATGTTTACTGATTTTAAATGTTTTTAATAATTTCTTGAGTGTTCTTTAAAACTTTTTTTTCTCATTTTCAGAAAATGTAGATATTTTAACTAGCAAGAGTCAACACAATTATATGCCTCAACTTTGGCAATAAATGAATTATTCAAAAGTTAATGAACTCCCAGTAATAATTTTACACTGTCAACTATTATTCAATATTTCATAAAATATAGGTACAAATAAAATATAGAAGAAGATTAGAAAAGCTGCATAAGCATGTGTTCTCTCCGGGAAGTTTACAACATAGGTGATTTTTGTATGAAAACACATACTTGTAGACTTGTATTGTGTGAATGAACCAAGATTTATACTTTTAAAATGTCATTTGAAAAAAATCCTTTTCTACTTACTTGCAGTTATTGACACATTCAATTCTGCCAGCATCTTCATCTGTACCATCACAACAATCTGTAATTCAGAGAAATGATATATACATTGGAAAACATGTTTGACTTGAAAGTCAGGATTAAATAAATTCCAAAATTCTGCATTTATGTCCTTGACTTACTGCATAAGTATTTAATTTGATAATAATAGTTTTTGATATAGAAAGAGAACAATTCATAATTGAAAAAAATGAAATTCAAAAATATTTAAGGAGGAACTATTTGGGAATCAAAAATGGCCCTTTGGCAAAATGTTTGGTGAAATTCTCTCTATATTTCTTAAAATTTGTCTTTTCATCTATAAACCTAAACTTTTTTTATATTATCAGTATTTGTACTTAATTTTATTTACTTCATTCATATGCATAAGTTTTTGCTCCTTCAGAAATCTCAACTCTCTATTGCCCAAAAGGAATATTTATACAGAATGTGTATTGTTAAAATTTTGTTTTGGACCACCACTGCCCACTTAGTATGGAAAATAAGTAATTCAGTCAAATCATGTCTGATTAATTCTGTTGATTTGACAATGACCTGTAGATGTCTTTTGGTTGTGTCTCTAGGTTGTTGTCTCATTCATGGGTCATGCACAAAATTATGATTTTGTAGTAAAGTCAAACATCATCAAAAACAACAATCAGTTAGAAAAATAGATGGCTTATTTTTATTTATGACACAAAAGTAACAATGTATTATTGTGATTTTTCACAAACTTTCTTAAGTCATGTTATGATAACTCACCACAAACTCCATCATTTACTCTAGATGATAAGATATTTGATGGGACATATCCAGCATTGGTACAATGGAATTTACCATTAGGGCAAGCAGAAGTACCTGTAAAAGAATAAAAACAAGTAAATGTACCTACTTAAAACAAGTAAATGTACCTACTAAAAACAAGTAAATGTACCTACTATAGGTACTGTGGATTTATTTATTTATCGGTACTAATTTTCGTAGATTAAGGGGAAAAAATGGTGAACTCTTGCTTACTATGTTTAATTGTATGTGTGCATGACTTGATATGTAGGTTTTGTTTGTTCTGCTTTTGTTTTGTCGGTTTTAAAAGCTCTTCAGAGCTTATGTTTGTAATTGTATTGTATATAACGACTTTTAATAAAGCTGTACGTCTTATGTCATAATTAGATTAAATGTTTAAACTCATGGTTCATCTATACCCATGACAATTGGTATCCCACAAATAATACACAGTAAATGATTATTATCAATCAATCATACCTGGTTCATCTGTTCCATCATTACAATCACAGTAATCATCGTTAACATACTCATACGGAATTTTGGATGAACCATCTAGACAGGTAAAGGTACCATCTTCTGCTGGCTGATACAAAGAAGCCACTGAAAAATAATAATTCATATCCTGACTAAGAAATTATAATAGCATATAAATAAAATTGAGAATGGAAACAGGGAATGTGTCAGAGACAACAACCCGACCAAAGAGCTGAAAATAGACAAGGCCACCAATGGGTCTTCAACACAGCGAGAAAATCCCACACCCGGAGGCGGGCTTCAGCAGGCCCCTAAACAATAATGTATACAAGTTCAGAAAAAATGGACGTCGCAGTAAACATGTACATATATTTCTGAATAAATTCTTTTCATTGTTTGCTAAAGGCGAGTAACATGAACTAAACTGTAGTCAACCAGATATATTGGTTAATATCAATGACCTCAACTTGTGTGAAGTATTTTACTATCATGATTGCTTTAATGTTGGAATATTGGGTTATTATATATAATTTTCAAACCCACTTTTCTTCGATTTAGTATGGATCAGGGACTATAGTATAGAAAGTCCCTGTATGGATTCAAATTCAAATTTGTTTAACTATATACTTTTTATGGATACATATACAAAGTAAACACAGAATGGAAATCTTTGTCTGTTTCTTTAATAATAAATGGAGGTGAAAAAATTGTCAAAATATGTGCGATTTGGGTACCATTATATATATGTCGGTATACTTTTTTACAGTGACAAGTGCCTGTGACACTAACTGATCATTATTAATTTATTCATTATACCCACTAAAAATCAAACAAAAATTGCCACATTGGTTGCCAGTTTTCTCTTGCATGGATGATTTAAATGATTGATAATTGATTGATGGTTTTTTTTTTGCTTAATGTCCAGTGGCAAACATTTGACACAAATTCAGGAGGATTTATTATTAAGTCTATGGTGCTAAACATAGCTTCTGTAAATTTCAGACGGTAAATGGTACTAGCCCAGTATGGATGTGTAAGGCAGTATACATATCACTGAAGCAAAATCAGCTAGATCGTTTAGGTGTTTTGTACAAACAGTGATCATCCCCCCTTTTTTGGAAAATAAGAAATTGAGAAACAGTCAGTGGATTCTCACTTGAAATAGAGACACCCCTTGGTCTACCAATAGTTGCATTTATGATACTGGAACAAAATAACTGTGCCAATATAATGAAAAATGTGTGCTGTGTTCTCATTTTCATTATCTATCATCAGTTCACGTTGCCGACATGGAAAACACCGATTGGCTTAGAAAGTAATAAAGGGACATAATTTCAGCAGTTTTTTCCGTAAAAGTACAATTGACCGCAATGATTTGAACACGCATAGTGTGGACCGACCACATGCACTTGTCTCTGAAAAAAACCTTTATACTTTAATGTTAAATTATATGTATAAAAAAATCCAGAGACAAGTGCCTGTGGGGTCGACAGAAATATAACATGACGGTACCCAAATTGCACCTATTTTGACAGTTTTTTCACCTGGGTCTGGGACTAGTCCCAGCCTGGGTGTATTTATGATCCAGACCAAATTTTCCATTCTGTGTTTATTTTGTAGGTGTATTTTTGTTTACTATATAGTTCCACTAATTTAATTTTGGATCCATATTGAATCATAGAAAGATGGGTTTAGTTTAAACAATATTTTATTTTCAAAAGTGCACAAATTACAATTGTACAATAGAAATACAGGGATTCGGAAACAAGAGGAACTTATATAAATCCGTCTCCCAAAGATGGGTTTGAACCAACCTCCAAACCATCCACTATTCTGTAATGATGAGTACCCACCCGTGTGAGTACCCAAATTGTAATGATCCATGCATAGTTGTTTATTTCTATGTCATTTTGGTCTCTTGTGGAGAGTTGTCTCATTGCAATTGGCAGTCATACCACAACTTTTTATTTTAATAATTATTATACAATTTTGTAAGAAGACTAAAGATGACTATTAATATCTGCACTTTAAATAGATTTTTTGCAAAAAATTTAAACCCAAATAAATATTTTCTCGTAAGAAAACGACGTAAAATCATGTATGTATTGTCTTTTAGATGGGATTACTTCGTTTGGTTACTTGAAAAACTAATGTCCTTTGATGCATATTTTTTTCAACAAAAAGGTGTTGACTTTGAAATATTGTATTCCGGCTTTTAGTAGTACGGTACCTGGGACATAATATATCAACATAAAATTGAGAATGGAAATGGGGAATGTGTCAAAGAGACAACAACCCGACCAAAGAGCAGAAAACTGCCCAAGGCCACCAATGGGTCTTCAACACAGCGAGAAAATCCGACACCCAGAAGCGGGCTTCAGCTGGCCCATAAACAAAAATGTGTACTAGTTCAGTGAAAATGGACCGTCGTCACACTAAACCCCAATATATATAAATGAACTAAATTTTTTTTTAAAATACAAGACTAACAAAGGCCATCGGCTCCTGACGTGGGACAGGCGCAAAAATGCAGCGGGATTAAACATGTTTTGTGAGATCTCAACCCCCCCCCCCCCTATACCTCTAGTCAATGTAGAATAGAATCTTCAGGATCTCACCTAACTTAGTTTACTGATAAAGAGTAGAACAGTATCTGTAGTATCTATATATTCCCAGATGGTACTTAATAAAATCTGATAAAATGGTTACGTTTTAATTTTTGACAATCTTGTAAGCACGGGCCAGGTATTCTCAATCGGTCATCATGGTCAGTTATTCAAACCAAGGATTTGTATAGTCTTACTATGATGGCCAATTGAGAAGTAAATAGATATAAGATACCGAACAGCAAGCTATAAGGGGCCCCCAAAATTACTAATGTAAAACCATTCAAAAGGGAAAACCAACGGTCTAATCTATATAAAAAACGAGAAACGAGAAACACTTATGAACCACATCAACAAACGACAACTACTGAACATCAGATTCCTGACTAAGGACAGGTGCAAACAATTGCATCGGGTTTAAACGTTTTAATGCATGGTACCAAACCTTCACCCTTATCTGAAACAATAGTGTAACATCACAACATAGAAAGACACACTATGAAATATCAATTGAAATGGTTTTACTCAATCAAAAGACATATTAACACCAGTGAACATACACTGAACAAATAAATTTGATCGATGATACAATGTAAATACAAAATAAATAAACTAAGGGAAGAATAATAAAAGTAACATGTTATACCGCTGTGAAATGTTAAACAATTTAAGAAAAACAATATGCTTGAACAATATCAGCCATTTGCAATTACTTTAAACACTAAATTCCGTTATATTTACAACGATGTTCACGCATCGTTGTAAATATAACGGAATTTGATAAGACTGTCGTACAAGTGAGAGGTTTAGCGCTATAAAACCAGATTCAATCCACCATTTTCTACATTTGAAAATGCCTGTACCAAGTCAGGAATATGACAGTTGTTGTCCATTCGTTTGATGTGTTTTGTCATTTGATTTTGCCATGTGATTAGGGACTTTCCGATTGAATTTTCCTCGGAGTTCAGTATTTTTGTGATTTTACTTTTTAATTGAAGTTCTCCACTTATTTGGACTTCTTTCATTTTAATGCAGCATATACATACGGAATACCTATGAGGGTCTGGATAGGGTTTACAGAACAGAGAATAATGTATGGGCAAAAGTGCAGAATAAATATCTTTAAAAAATTAAGAATAGAAAAAACTTGATGGGAAAAAAAAAGAATTGATAATAATGGGGTCCTGAAATATAAAGAATGGAGAATAATGGGCATGCTAAATAAAAGAATAGAGAGAAAAAGGTCTGAATAACAGACCCTCATATATATCTCCCATTTCATACGATATTCTTGATAAAGGGTTGCTGCGTATATAAGGCAGCTAAGGATGACTTATATTGTTATCGTTTGATCACTTGATTAAATCAAGGATTTGTATAGTAAGACTATACAAATCCTTGATTAAATAAAAGAACAGTATCATCCAACTCAGTGTTTACGATATACTCTTAAGCTACAAAATGTGTTCTTCTTAAATTTAACAAATATAACATCTTTAAATTCCAGGCTAGTGCTTGATAATTTTTGCCATAATTTTTAACATGTGAGCTATTGCCATACCTTGGTGTCCGTAGCCGTCCAGTGTAAACTTGTTCAGATATCGTCTCAACCGAAACTACGTACTGACTCAATTTCAACCGACTAACTGACTTTTTATAGTGTACAGACTTTTTACAAGGCCCTCTCCTAACATTGCCTTGTTGTCCCCCCTCCCCCTTTGTCAAAATCCTGGATTGGCTAGATTATAGTTTTTAAAAAATGATAGAACCTTATTCCATGTCCATGGTAGTACATACTGGCAACATTTTTAGAATTGAGAGTGGGGATAGTTAAATATAAAACTAAGAAGATGTGGTATGATTGCCAATGAGACAACTCTCCACAAGAGACCAAATTTATGACACAGAAATTAACAACTATAGGTGGCCTTCAACAATGAGTAAAACCCATACCGCATAGTCAGCTATAAAAGTATGCTTTGGGGGATCAAAAGGGAGTGGATATTACTTTGGAAACCTATGGAAATATTTTAAAGCTATGTTCGAAGTATCATAACGAATTGTTCTTGCATCAATGGAATTATAAATTTCGCAGCATTACATACTTGGTAGCATGACAAACTGGCTAAAACAATACAATTGCTCTTGCGATTCTAATTTTGGTACATTTCTTTAAGACTCTCGATGAGCTTCTATATATTGAACAAATCATATGCTAAGAATATGACTTAGATCAATTTCCGGGAAGTTTATATAGAACAACAATATTTTTAAAAGTACCGAGCAACTCTATATTTTTTAAACATTGGACAATTTGAATTTCAAAAGGAGGTTATTTCAAGTTTTATAGTGAATTACCTCACAATATTTATTTTACGAAAGGTTACTTGCATCAGTTGCAAGCTTTTATCTGGAATAATTTCTTGCGATTCCAAGTTTTGTAATTTCCGGAAAGACTACAAAATCCACATTGTTTCAAAACGAGCTAATAAGTTTCAACACAATTTGGAAACATATTGATCCAAGCTTTTATATGGAACAATTTCTTGCGATTCCGAGTTTTGTAAATTTCCTGAAGAGAGAACTTTTTCTTCTGATTCTTTTTTTTTGGGGGGGGGGGGGGGGGGGGGGGGGATATATTTCCTGAAAGACTCTCAGACACACGATTTTCGAAGGAAGTTGGCTCCTTTCACAGTGTACCTTTCTCGGTTGGTTCGATCATTGCTTGTTTACAGTCATATCTTAGATTTCAATGATTGTAATATTAATATTGCTAACTTTGTTTTTACATTAGCGATAATGATATATATCATAAATCAGTCAAAACTTTAACTAAAGGAGTAGCTAGGTTCGATAAGGCCCTAATTACGTCCCCATTTCTAACTAAAATTTCAAATTAGGATTTACGGACCAATTTAACAATGAATCATAACTAAACAATGACTTGATAGGAAATAGGTCTTTTTTCAAGACGTCACAAATAGCCCACATTCTGATTTTCCACAACAATTCAATGAAAACAGGCCAATTTCCATTGATTTTTTGGACTGAAAACATAGAGCGCATGTAATGATAAAAAAAAATCGTTTAAGTTAATGTTTTGTCGATATAACATTGAAGCCTGCGCTTTTTTCCTACGTCTAAATTTAGTTGCAATCCAGACGATTTTGTCAAAGGAGAAGGTATGATAAGTCCACCTTTTTGGTTCCTGAATTCGAAAACTAAAAATTATTTTAAATCCGCCAAATAACAGCATTTAAATGTTCACACTGTGACAGGACATAAGAATATTATCATCAGATCACCATTATTTACATTAGGGCTTCAAACTTCTTGCATTTTGTACAAAACTGCCAAAAATATACAAGCACTTGTCTCTGAAATAAATTACCTATATACTTTAATATAACACTAACGTATATAGGTAATAAAAATTTCAGAGACAAGTAAGTGCCTGTGCAACTGGTGATCTTTTATCGTTTTATCAGCTGTTTATAGTAAAATATTATGGTTTCCCGTAGGTTTAAGTGGTCTTTCTGTGTGTTCAGTGGTGAAATGACAGACCCTTAATTAATATTACGATATGTGAGCTACAGCTTTCCCTAAAAAGATATTTTGCAACATGAATAATGGTTCTGATCATACATCCTCCTTTCACCAAAATCTCTACTTTTGGTGTATTCTGGTTTTAAGAATCATAATTATATTGTTGTTCAATTGTTGCATCTGGTTTATTTTTGGGATGAAACTCAATTTCCTTTATTCATAATTCAAAGCAAGACGTCAAGACTTGCATGTTTTTTTTTTGCTTTGAAAAGTTTGTTCTAGGAATATCACAAAAATGTGTCTACCTGTTCTGCTGATGACGTTGGTGTGTGAAACATCACTTAGATTGACAAAACTTTGTCACATGATGCAGAAGCATTATACTGACCTTGACTTTGACCTTTGACCCAAAATTGGTTTCCTTCTCTAACTTAAGTTTGCCTCAACCAAATGTTATCAAACTTATACAAAATACAGATCAATTTGAATTTTGGTGGTGTCACTTTAACCGTTCTAGAGTAATGCCCCTTCACAAATGGGAAAATTGTTGAATTTGTTTTGTTTCCGTTCTCTTACTTTAGTTTGCCTCAACCAAATGTTATGAAACTTATACACAATGCTTATTACCACAAACTACAGATCAAGTTTGAATTTTGGTGGTGTAACTTTAACCGTTCTCGAGTTATGCCCTTCACAGATGGGAAAATTGCTGAATTTTTCGTTTCCGTTCTCCAACTTTAGTTTGTCTCAACCAAATGTTATGAAACTTATACACAATGCTTATTACCACAAAACACAGATCAAGTTTGAATTTTGGTGGCGTCACTTAAACTGTTCTAGAGTTATGCCCCTTTACAAATGGAATAAAATGCTCCGCTGGGCGCAGCTTGATACTACCGCAGAGGTCGAACCCTGAACAGTTGGGGCAAGTAAGGACACAACATTCAAGCTTGATACAGCACTGAATTTGGATTCTGATTAAATATTTGACACAGCATAGGTTTCTGACACAGAATGAATGTGGTCTAAGAACTTAAAAAATTTTAATTTACCTATTCAAACCATATCATTATTATTTGCTTTTATATATAAATCAGAAATAACCAATTTAAAATGGAAAATTTTAAAGAAAAAAAAAGGAAAAAAAGGAAAAACAAATCCCTCCCCCAAATTTTTTGAACCCCCTTATGATTCATCACCCCCAAACTCAATCCCAGCCTTCCCTTTGTGGTATGGTACCTTGCAGTACAATTTCAGAGAGATCCATACACTTGAACACAAGTTATTGTCTGGAAACTAGAAAAATGCTTGTTTTTAGGCCCCTTTTTGGCCCCAAATTCCTAAATGTTTAGGGCGATTACCCCCAAACTCAAACCCAGCTTTCCCTTTGTGATATGGAACCTTGTAGTACAATTTCATAAAGATCCATACACTTACACACAAGTTATAGTCATGAAACTAGAAAAATGCTTGTTTTTTCCCCTTTTTGGTCCCTAATTCCTAAAATTTTGAGGCAATTACCCCCAAAATCAATCCCAGCATTCCCTTTGTGCTATGGTACCTTGCAGTACAATTTCAGAGAGATCCATACACTTGAACACAAGTTATTGTCTGGAAACTAGAAAAATGCTTATTGTTGGCTCCTTTTTGGCCCCTTATTCCTAAACGTTTTGGGCAATTACCCCCAAACTCAATTCCAGCTTTCCCTTTGTGATATGGAACCTTGTAGTACAATTTCAGAAAGATCCATACACTTACACACAAGTTATTATCATGAAACTAGAAAAATGCTTGTTTTTTGCCCCTAATTCCTAAAATTTTGAGACAATTACCCCCAAAATCAATCCCAGCATTCCCTTTGTGATATGGAACCTTGTGGTACAATGTCAGAGAGATCCATACACTTACACACAATTTATGTCTGGAAGTTACAAAAATGCTTATTTTTACCCCCTGCCTCTTTTTTACATGTATTCATCTTAAAACAAAAAAACAAAAATAATTATGACGGATGCATACTGTGGAAATTGTCATAGGTAAGACAAAAACTAACATGTGTTATCCAATTTTAAAGCAACTGTCTGTTCATTATGTATCATGTCTTTTTGAATTCTTTTTATTAAATGAAAAATGTGTATTTTCTCTTTCCTTATTGAAACAAGAAATATTACCACTGAAACCAGAACAACAATAAATATATAATAAATTTTTTTATGTACACATAAATATTACATCATGGACGGAATGTTAAAGTTCAAAATGAGAAATTCATATCAATGTGCTGCAGTTCCGTCTACATTTAGTCTATAAACAGCTGCAAAATGGTCATAGGCTGAATCTATTACAACACGTAAATGTTGTGCCTGTATATTGCCTAGATTTATTTCTTCTGACTGTAGTTGCCCATCATGAGAATTCATCTCTGAAAAGTGGAAAAAAACCTTTTGCATCATGATAATGTAAAGACTTGAATGGATAAATACTGATTTGTATAAAAATTTCTCACAAGAAAACTGAAGTAAATTTTATTTATATTTCACCACAGAAGACAGCTTCACTGCCATTTAATGATCAAGACTATAGTAAACTATTTGTAGGTAACAACATGCATTCCTTGAAGATCTGTTACCAGTGATATAATCTAATTTTTTATTTTTTAGTAATCTGTCATTACTCAAACTCTGGTAAAAGAGTATTTAAAAGTATTTTATATGGAGTTTTCTTACCATTTGATTTAATGTCATATTTCAGTCTTATTGTACGTTAAAAAGAAAAATTTCCTACAAAATCCCAAAGCAACATTCTTTACAGAATCCTTTATATCATTAACTTCCAGATTTCTTTTAATTTGTCATCATAATCAAAGGCACTTGGGGAAAGGATGTCCCTTTTTCTTTAAAATTTCAACTTATTTTCCCTTTTTCAATGTATCCTTGCTCTTATCAATGCTATCATAAAAATGTGAAATTGAAAGTTGATAATAAAGGATATTTTTAAAAAGTAAAGTTCACATGTATAATCCCATTTCTTTAAACTATAATTTTCTTTGTTTTGATCCACCTACATGACATTATTGTTTTGTTTCTATAAGTTGGTCTTGACAATCAGAAATGCATGCAATGTTGCTTCCTTTTAAAACAAGACATTTTACATGTTTAATATGTTATCATAAAACAAACAGAGATCAACAAAGATCAGTTAGTTTCCATATATGTGTTTAGAGGATTAGGAAGTCTATAAATATTGCTTATCTAATAAAATTTTAAATATCACCAAAGACTAACTTTTCAGAGTTATCTGTTCAGTGTTCAATGTTAACCAATAGGCCTAACAATCCCGGCTTGTAAAATTGCTATTTAGCCTATGAGTTTTCTATTTATATTATACTAAAACTCTAAATTTCACATAAGAACACTTTCAGTAAACACGTTTATTTTTAACTCTGTTGTTTTAAGTATATACATGTGTTTGTAAATGGCTTTTTTGCTGGCCTGTTGTTCTTGTTGTGGATGTTTGTGGAGTTTACCCTGTCCATGGATCTTTGGATATTTTCAAAATTTGAATTTAAAACATGTTTGTATACACTCTTGTATCTTTCACAAGTTTTATATCAAAATCTTTAATGAATCAATCATACCTATTTCTTTTATTGGTTCAAAATTTAATGGTTCGCTGTCTGTACTTTTCTCCAAAATCAACCGTCTAACTAAAATCGAAACAATATAACATGTTAAAATACTTTGAGAGTACATTTTCATGCAAACAAATATCTTGTATCAGAAATTCTAAGAAGAATGAAAAACTATTGCATTTAAATTCTAATGAATTCAAATTAAATGATATCAACTGTTAGTTTGATAAACAAATTGAGTACCAGTACTTTTTTCCAGTGACTGTAAATCTACAGTTTGACATAAGCAAGCTTTAGAACTTATCAGTTGTTCTTTCGATCCAAAAAAAAAAACTGACTAATAATTGTTCATTACTTATATAAACTTACCATTACATGAAGCTAATTCTACCTTTGACATGTTCATCATTGATGTGAATTTTATAACAAATTCCTGTGGAAATAACCCTGTTGTTGTCCAGAATGTTTCTTGATCCCTAAAATGAAAAAAAAAAAAACAATAAAAAGACTCAAATGCCTAGGTTGTATGTAGTGCTTCTTATACAGTGAAGAATAATCTATAACTCAGGTCCATTTTGCCATACATGTATGCAATTGTAGATTTTTAAAAGTGTAAATACTACAACAATTATGTATTCATCTTGAGACAAAAATACTTTATTTAGAATTTCACTTTAATAAAATTTCAGTTCTTTAGTATGCAAATTACCATTTAAATATTGTCTATAATAACACAATGATCACTTTCAAAACTAATTTAGTAAGAGTAAGATCCTGATCTCCAACAGTGATATACATGTATTGCTTTGAATTTTGACACTCTCTTTGGACTTGCTGGAGACATTTGACATCAAATCTCAGTCCAAATAGAATGGATATTGCTGAGCTGATGAGGTGAAAAGTTTTAACTTCATAATCAAATCCATTGTCAAACAGAAAAAAATCATACACTATTTGTTTCTTTGTTTATTTGTCTCAAAAAATATATATCTTTTAATCACAGACCACATTTATGACAACTCTACCCTGTAGCACAAATCAAAGCTTTATTTCCTCAACCTCCATTTTCAGCAGTACAGAAAGTGTTAAAACATCAATGCAACAAAAATAAATAACAGAAGAGACAAGTCATGTCATTTGCTGGTAGGATCAGGATCAGTGTTAAGGAAATCCCTTTGAGAGTTCTGTGTCTGCCATAATTTTCTGATTAGGCTGACACAGAACCCCTTATCATACCCACAAAAAACAATTTTCTGATTAGGCTGACACAGAACCCCTTATCATACCCACAAAAAACAGTCTGAAAAATTTTAACAATTTACAACACCTTGAACATGTTGAACCTTACCAGTGTTTTTTTTTCATGGATGGAAACATTCTGTACAACATTGTACAATCATAGCAGCAAGGTTGCCAAAAAAACCTGTCAATACTAGTATTAATCAGGACGGAGGTGAATACTGGCATATACATGTACTGGTCAATTGAAAATTTGATAGGACAAGACTCTAAATACCAGTAAAAAAACTGGTCAATTACTGGGTAAATGGACAGATATAGTCTCAGTGTCAAAATGTCTTCAAGCAGTGATCTATGTAATTTATCGGATATTGGTACACTTCTACTTTTAGCTGTGCCAGTGATATGAGTTCACCTGAAGTCAGTGATCACTCATCAGTTATAAGGCCTTCCTATTGAAGTCGTAATATAAATGTATTATAAATTGTGGCAGATACAAATGCTGATTAATTAGACATTGTCTAAGACAGTTTTGCCTTAACTTAACATGGAAGCTATCTGGAGAGGAAAAGCAGAATAAGAAGGCATAGCAAGTTCTGAGAAAGAAGATGTCTAACTATATAGGAATAACCGTTGCCTTCAACAAGTTCAAGGTTTCCTTCAAAAGAAATGTACTAGACCGATTCAAGATCAACCTGGGAACACTTGCAATAACATCAATAATGTGAATATTCATCTGCTCAACAGGTAGTCTGTGAAGATTCTATGAAAATACCAGAAATACCACAGCCAGTTTCTGATATTAGATCATTGCTGACTGCGATGATTGTAAAGGAACCGTCAGGTCAGACATCAGAAGCTGATACAGGAAAGTAGATGCCGATCCAAAAGAACCCAGTAACAATGGTCGAAATGATTGTATACAACAAGCCCCACTACCCATTTATCTGTAGTAAAGATCAAAGATGACGTTTTTCTACTTATCTACAGCAACACCTTTAATAGTAGCATATATACATGTATATAAAGCTGTTCTTAATTAAGAAGACTGTTTAAATTAATAAAGAGACACGAAGATGCATGGCTGGACATACATTTGTACGTGAATAAATTATAGTTTCATGACGTATAAAACCCAAGTACCTTGTGTTATAAAGTAAAGGGTATAATTTTTAGAGAGAGAAACAATTGGCTGTGACGGCAGTGGACTGTTTTATGAAGCCTTTATAAGCACATTGAACTCAGTGGTTTAAAATTGAGGTTACCCGTCTATGATATTTTCAGGAGGGTATTTGTCATCACTAGATGTTGCTAACACAACCTGGGCACCAGCAGATTTTAATGCAACATCAAACATTTTTAAGTTTGTTATTTACAACCGATGGAATGTTAGGGCCGTTCGGAATATTTATGGTTGTCATCGCAAAACAAAGTCTTCCATCCCGATCCGACCTCCTGGGAAATGATTCTGAAAAATAAAATATATGAATAAAAAACAGAACAATTATGCTGAAATGACTCATGTATTAACAAAAAATTATATTGTTTATTAACAAAAGCAGTGTCTAGAACATTAAAAGTAATTTGGCTGTGGTTAAAGAGAACTTTACCGGAAATGATAACCGGCTTTTATAAATCCATTCGGAAACTTTTCCCGCCAAATTCCAAATCGACCCCTTGCTTCTAAAATTTTTTGTTTTAGGCAAGGATTTGTATAGTAGTTAGACAAATCCTTGTTTTAGGTAAGTAGTTGTACTGTCTTTATTTTAAGAGAGTGACACATTTAGCATAATATTATCCTCTCTGATGCTCTTGTGCTTTGATAATTAAAAAAAAATAAATACAAAAATATTATTAATGTCAACACTACAACAGAGACATATATGTCAATAATGAAATATCAAACACATTCATGACATTACATGTATGTATCTATGCATGTATAAATATTATTGACTGCCCTTCCAATCATTCTTAATTTTGAATAATTACTGTTAAAAGTGATGAAAATATTTACTTAACTTTATAAAGGTTATGGTTAGTTTAGCACTGTGCATACATGTACACTGTATTAAATAATTAAATAAATTTATTTTAAACTTCTTTCTAAAATATATTTCTTAACTCTTTTTTTTTTTAACAAACTTTTCCCATTTCACTGCTGCAGACAGGTGTCTGGGATGCTGCACAGAGAGCCACATGAGCATGAAGAGATGTTATTTGAGATTGTTGCCATGTTGGACAGTTTTATTTCTAGATTGTGTTTGCATAAATATCCTCTTAAAAGTATTAAAGACAGGTAATCTCAAATTCAAACATTATTGCATTTAAAGTCAAATAAGGGTTTTTATCAAGATTTTGCAGTTCATCAATCATTGTCAATATATTAATGAACATGGAAATGTGATAGTACATGTTGCATGGCATGGTGTCTATATACACATATATTCCTGACTTAATCATTCAATCGTTAATGCTTGATTAAAAAGAATTAGGTATGCAAAGAAAGTATTTTCTCTTTTTAGGAAAACTTTGCAAATAAATGTTTAGAAATGACATGAATAGAAAGTTACTTAAGACCCATGATACATCTGAAGAGAGACAAAAAACGCCAGAACGTTTGTTGTCACAGTGCATACACTATGTAGCAGAAAATCTGTGCTATGTTGACTCTTTTTATGGATTGCCAGATTTAATAGCAGAACAGATCTTCAGAAAAGCAGAATCCTTAGACAAGTTTGATTTAGATGATAACTACAGCTTTCATGCACTTTCAGTATTTACCACTGTATATGAGGACCTTGTTATATCAAGTTTGAATCTCAGTAACCAATATCTTGGAGTTAATTTCTGTCAGGATCGTTTAAATTTGTTGTCATCCCTTAGAGAAATAGATTTGACTGGTTGTAGATTAGGAGATGAACATGATTTCTTAAATGATTTGGGACAACTTCGGAGGTAAGTCTCCCATGCATAATTGCAGTTTGGACAACAAATGTATGTGGATCATAAGATTAAGGGTAAACACTTCAAGCTCCACTGATGAGTTTGGAAAACAAACTGATGTGGATCTTAAGATTAAGGGTACATACTTCAAACTCTGCCAATGTGTTTGGTCAGTTTGAATTGATATTGGGTAAGAGTATCTGTCTATAATCTGCATGTAATATATACTTAGTACTACCGTACAAGTATGTCATTAAACTGTCCACTTGAAATTGGGAAATTGAGATGCATGAAGAGTTAAAACATCATTTTCTTTTCTAAGAAATGAAAACATAATAAGTTGAAGATAATTGGTATAAAAGTTTTCTAATTATATACAACAATTGTTCATGTATCATAGCATTCAAATCCTTACATTTATATTTGAATTTCATAAATTATCATTGATATGGTCATAATTCTCAACTAACTGTTAACAAAACTTTAGTTTCTCGAATTACGAAGGATTTTCTACCCCAGGAATAGATTACCCGAGCTGTATTTGGCAAAACCTTTTGGAATTTTGAGTCCTCGTTGCACTTCAGCTTCATACCTTATTTGGCCTTTTTGATCTTTTTTTTTATTCGAGGGTCACAATGAGTTTTTTGTAGACGAAACACGCATCTGGCTACAGAATTTTAAGCCTGGTATCTATGATGAGTTACCTCATTCAAATTATTTTCATGACCAACCCTCCCAAAATGCAGCAGGGCAATGCAGCATTAAACATTGCTATTGTTCATCTATCTACCCTGTTTTGGTTTCTGCTAAAAAACTGAAGTTAGCATGAATAAATCATTTGAAATTTTGAAAATATTACCATGGGCAATTTATCACATGTTAAGCCTGATTGACATATTTCACTAACAAGTGCTTATATCTGAGTTATGCTCTAGTCTTTGATCATGTTGATAACATTCATGTGGAAAATAGTAAAATTTAAGAATTTTTGGTGTTAATAAGTATAACTATAAATATATTGTTGTATTTACCACAGTGTTTTCCCTAGGCTATTCAAGCATTAGGGTACCGCTACGCATAAATTTCATCATTGCCGCAATGCATCCCGCTATGTGTGAAAATTATAACTGTGTAAAATATTTATTATCGATATTTTGAAAGTGAAGTGACAAGTGACAACACTCCACAGGTGTTTTAAACTCATACGACTGATAATTGGATGCATCACGTCGTGCGTGCCAGGATTTTACAACCTTTTTGATTAGTTGGTTATACATCGAGACTTCGGTTACATAAAAGAAGTTGCCAGTAAGTTGATAAATAAATAGTCAGATTAATCTCCCAATGCATAACTTTCTGTGCTTAATAAAAAGTTTAACCTTTTGCAGTATAAATTTCACCCTTAAAACGGGTGTTTGACATCGTTATTTTACTGTGATCATTAAAAAGTAGAAATTTAAAATTTGGTATAGTCTCTGGTATAATAAAATAAAACTAACGTAATTTCACCGAGAATGGGCAAAACTTTTGTTTTAATAAAGTTTCGCAGTTTTTTCATCAGCTATATTTACATCGATGAATTATTTTTTGATTGGTCACAACAATCAGTTATTTTTAGATTAGTCGCGGTTGATTGATTATATCAAAGAATACACATCACCGCCACCAATTGGTCTTCTTTTGCCAGTTTCAACAGCTGATTGTGAAAGGTGTTTTTCATGCTTGAACAGAGTTAAAACACCTTTGAGAAAAGACTATGCCAAAAAGTGCTGAATTGCTTAATGCATATATCAATTGAAGGACCAAAGGAGGAAGATTTTGATTTTGAAAAATGTGTGGTGACCTTTGGAAAGTTGAAACAGAGGAAGATATCAACAAAATAATGTACATGGCATTAACTTTTAAATAACTATTGCAGACTGGATTATTTTTATTATTGTTTATAAAGTCTTTCATTAATTCCTCTCATCTGTAATAAATACTTTAAAGTTCCATGACTTATATGAATTGCTGTACCTATAATAAAACAATTAGATTGGTATATGGCTTTAAACATATAAATTATGTAGTGTAACTAATTCTGGAAAAAGAAGCGTCGCGTGCCGCGTTGCAAATTCACCATGGACCCACCATGCATGAAAAATTTTCTAGGGAAGACACTGTACCATGTAATTTTGATGGTCAAAGCTCTGAAAGAGATAATTATTTCAAGTGTATTGAACCTTCTCCCAATATGTTTTAATTCAAATAATGATTTATTGAAGTGCTCAAATTATTATAAAAATAATTAGTAGATGTGTTGAATGTATAACATTTATTTCTAACTTGCACTTGATTTTAAGGTTAGAGGTCCTGTGTTTGAGAGACAACAGTTTATCAGATAAAGGGATCCAGAGATTAACTTGTCCTTACAGAGTGTGTGGTCAGGGACCAGCAAGATTGACTAAGCTGGATGTATCTGGTAAATATGGAGTCGGAAAATGATATTTGATTTGAAACATAAAAAATGTTTAAAATTATCTACTAGTATGTAACTTTTAAGTTATTGAAAAGTGCAAAAAAGGAAATACACTATTTCATACACTTCTTCAATTTATCTTAATAATTATGGCACATTTCCTCTTCACATTTTACACAGGTCATACAGTTACGGAAAAAAGGTAAACAGAAATAATGAAAACTGTGATAAGCAATTCAATCTATCAATCATATTGTCTACCTGGTAACTGGGCTTATTGGAATGTTGATCAGAGTTAACATCAATCATCCTAGGGATGTTTCAAAAATATATCTGACTTATACAAAATATGTAAGAATCAGACATTAGATGATTTTCCTGGACCATATAATTTTTTTAACCATAACCACTTTAATGCAATAAATCTTATATTCAAAGTCCTCTGGAATTATAATATTTATTGAAATGTTTGTTTTGTGCTATTGACATAATGATGTAGCATATAAAAGAGTAGGTCAATTCATCTACCTGTACCTTGTTTATGGATAAATAATATTTTTTACAGATAACTGGGAGGTTACAGGAAAATGTTACAAGTACCTTAATCCATTTTCCAAATTGACAGTAATTGATGTCACTGCAACACAGGTGAAAGTAAGTTCTAATTTTTGTAGAAGTTAGGAGTTTTGGTTGATCGTTGGTGTTTGATGCCACTTTCAGTACCATTGGCTATATTGTGGGGGTCAGTTTTTATTGGTGAAGGAAGCCAGAGTCCTCGAAGAGAACCATCTATCTTCAGGAAAACTGGCAATTCTAGTCAATAAAGATTGGAGTCCAACACAGGACAGGTGTCGATACTCACAACCTCAGTGTTAACAGCTGGCTAGTGATACAGCAGATGAACTACTTAGACCACTTAGCCACCAAGGCCCCTCTTTGAGTTTTGGTATTATAAGTTTTGAATGAAACAACAATCCATTGAAGACAGTTTGACATAATAAACATAAAAAACATAAGATATTACCTTCTGGCATGTTGTATGATATTGAATTCTTGTCCTCTCCCATGTGGTCAGGTGAAGTTTTCAGGATATAAAGGTTCTGTGCATATTTCCTTTAGCATGCTTTTAACTTATTTAATGTTGAAAAATTTAAGTAATAAAGAAGGCAGGTGACAACTTTTCATTTGTCAATGCCAGTATGAATAAAAACTGATTTCAAAGGAAGCTTTGTAGTCTCTCTTGTTGGTTATGGAATCATGCGGACCTTTATTACTTCTGCATGCTTCTTTGTAGTCTTTTTCCATACTGACACATAATTTGTCATTATAATGTGTTTCAGGGGAATCCAGAGCTTCTAAAAACCTGGAAATTTAAGCCAGTAAAGGATGATGGTACCTTGAAGACTATAACCAATAAAGGTTGGGCTTCAGATATTGTTCAAAAATGGATGAAAACAGCAGTTTTAAAGGCAACTTGTGTAAAAGTAAAGAAGGAACTAACAAGGACACAGCAATTCTGTAAGTTATTTGTCTTTCTTTTGCTCTACAGAAATATTTTTTAATAATAAATTAATTAGAATTATCTTTTTTGTTAAATTTGCATAAACTTGTATAACTGGCCAGTCCTCTGGAAAACAAACAAAAATGACTGCCATCTCAAAATAAACAGTTAACATTTAGTTTAAATTGACATTATTTCTTGGCAAAACACACAACATTTATAATTTTTGTCCCCTGCGTAACACTTTGCGGGGGACATGGAAATACTGGGCGTCCGTCCAGTCTTGTTAGCGCTCTCATGGGTACAATCTTGATGATTTTTATAAAACTTATACTATAAGTTAATATCAGCAATATCTCGGACAAGATATATAATGGTGGCCGTTCAACTTTTTTAAAAGAGTTATGCCCCTTGGAGATGTTAAATTTATGGAAAATGGCCTCAGTAGCCACTCTCGGGTACAATTCTTGCCAGGTTTTTATAAAACTTATACTATAGGTTAATATCAGCAATACCTCGGACAAGTTCTATAATGGTGGACGATCAACTTTTTTTAAAAGAGTTATCCCCTGGGAATATTAAATTTATGGAAAATGGCCTTGTTAGCGCTCTCACGGGTACAACTTTGGCCAGATTTTTATAAAACTTATACTATAGGTTAATATCAGCAATATCTCGGACAAGTTCTACAATGGTGGACGATCAACTTTTTTTAAGAGAGTTATGCTCCTTGGAAATATAAAATATGTGCAACGCTGGGGACATTGGAACTCTTTTCTTTTATTTGTTTTTGACCTAGCAAAAACATGATTTTTATGTATGAAAGACACATGAGTTAGGTTGTGAAACATGATTTGATAGTCTTAACTTTATTCACTTGTCTAGACCCTGATATAAGTTCTAGACATATGGTATATACACTTGTCTGTTGTTGAAACTTGAATGTTATCTCTAAATGTCATTTTAGGATTTTTTGTGTTTGCTGTGTCATCAACATATACTCAACATTTGAACATATTCAGTTTTAATTTGGGTTTTCACAATCATCAAGACATGATAAAACTTTTTTTCTCAATGGATTCGACTATCAACTTATTCATGAAAGGACAAAAAATCCATAAGATGAACCTAAAGATAATTACTGACGAGGTTCCTGACTTTGAGGCACATGAAGATGCAAGTTACATCAGCCTGAATAAAAACATATTGTCAAAGAAGAGACATGCTTGATAGTAGTATCATTTACATGAAATTTTATTTATCAATATTCAATTACAGACATTCAGGAAAAAGGAAGCTATTTCCAACACTTGGTATCTGTAGGTTCGTCCTTCCATATTTAAAAAATCCTCTTTTCATTCCAGTCAGCTGGAAAAAAGGATACTTTCATTATAACCAAAAATAATTCTTGTTAAGAGCCCATCTAATTTTAAAAAGTCATACTGAAGTTTTGATAGACATATGAGGATTGGAGATTGTCCATCTTTAGAGCCTCAAGTTCCATTTATTTTGTTACAATTTCATATTTGTCACTTTTTAGATTCAAAGAAGAGAAAAAGAAATACTGATGATAAATTGATTGATACTGAGTCAAAAGATATCAGAAAGGAATCTGGATACAGACTGCATCTGGTCAGACTAGAAATAACTTGTAAAACAGTACCTCTTGACAGTAAACAAACCGATTGTAGTGATGTTGATAAACATTCCGAACATAGATTAAAAAAGCAAAATCAGTCAAATAATAACAGTGATGATATTAACAATTCAGACACTGATTTGCTCAGTATGTATGGAAACCCAGCTCATGCAATGAAAAATGAACAAAAGATGACTCTGCAGTCTGCCCTGAAATCTGGGGCTTGGTAAAACACAACAAATGTAAAATGAATTGCAATAGAACTGAGTGGAAACATATTTTGAAAAATTATTTAATAAATAGATATATTTATATGTTTTATTCTTGTAATGTTATAACTAGGAAATTGATGATCAAGATATTAAGATTATTTTACCAGTTTGTTTGTGTCTATTTGGTTATTTATAATTTTAATGCCCATGCTGTGGCGGAGGGGACATTCAGGGCCTACTTTGAATTGTCCTACTCGGGTTGACTAGAGTTATAAAATCAGTATTAATGCACATGTGTGCATCTTCCTGAATCGAAGTAAAAACTCTACTCGTTTTGACTCTCGAAACAGAAGATGTAAATATAGCAGCAGTTGTTAATTATCTTTTTATGGACCTCTACTATAAACAACTTTATGTTCAAATGTAACATAACTAAATTAAAGAACTTTTATCATTTATTCATTTCCATTTCTTACCAGGCCATAATATTCATTTTGAAAATCCTCTTTGCCCCATCGTCCCCTAAGTAAAGGGAATAGATTTTCGTAATACTTTCACATTTTACTCTTAACAACTAAAAATCCTGAAAAAGATATTTTTCTGTCCTATCGATAAACATCACCGACAGAAGTTACACACGAAAAATGTTTATTTAATGCCAAAAAAATAAAAAAATAGATTTCACTTTTAATAAAGCCCCTTTCTTTGGCTGTAAAATTTCAGTTATTTTGTATTTAAACTCTTCTTTGCTGTTCTTGTTTGTCACCATTTTGTAACTCTAGTAAACCTGCCTCAACCCAGGGTTGATGTCGAGTTAACTCTGGCAGGTTCAAAAGTTCAAACTCGGGGGTTCAATTGAAACTCGAGTAAACTCAACACACTCTACCATGTCTACTAACCCGAGTTGGAAAATTCGAAGAAGGCCCATGATTACCCTTGTCTGTCTGTCTGTCCTTATGTCATAGACTGTTTTACATTCTCTAACTTAATTTTGCCATGACCAAATATTATGAAACTTATACACAATGCTTATTACCCCCAAACACAGATCAAGTTCAAATTTTGGTGGCTTCTTTTTCATCGTTTTTGAGTTTTGTCCCTTTATAAATGGAAAAATTGCTGAATTTGCTGTTTCTGCACTCTAACTTTACTCTGCCTCAACTTAATGTTATGAAACTTATACATAATGCTTATTACCACCTTAAATAGATCAAGTTTATTTTTTGAGTGGCGTCACTTTCACTGTTCTTCAGTTATGTCCCTTTATGAATGGAAAAAATTGTGAATTTTCTGCTTCGCACTCTTACTTTACTATGCCTCAACCAAATATTATGAAACTTATTCAAAAATGCTTATTACCACCAAACACAAATCAAGTTCAATTTTTGAGTGGAGTCACTTTCACTGGTCTTCAGTTATGTCCCTTTATAAATGGAAAAGATTTAGAATTTTCCATTTCTGCACTCTTACTTTGCTTCAACCAAATGTTGTGAAACTTATTAAAAATGCTTATCACACAGATCAAGTTAGAATAAGGGTGGCATCACTTTCACTGTTCTTGAGTTACCCCATTACTGTTTTTATTGAACAATGAAAGCACTCCGACCCAGAGCAATCTCTAATCACAACATACAGAAACACATGCCATTAGGAAAACAAAACGTTAATAGGTGTGAATTAGTACATTGACTTTTGCATATCTACAAGCGGGGGCATCTGTATCCCATAAGCACATTCTTCTTTTAGTTAAAAAAACATATATTTGATAAATTACCCAAGGTATTTTATAAAAGTTAAGAATGAAACATGGCTAACACATTAAGGTTGAAGAAAACATGGTAGAACTATTATGAGAAATTTCATCTTGCAAGATGCATCTACCATGATAGATTGTAAAATCATGGTAATTATTAAATGGATATTATACAGGACAATAAAGAGTTTCAGAGATTGATTACCGGTAAATGTTATTCTCAACAATTTTATACATTTGAGCAATGCAAAATTTTCTAAAGTGACTGAAGTATGCTAAAAGGCTTAAGTCTAATATTTTGGTAGAAACAGTAAAACATAAATTCAACATACCAAATGTCATTTGTCTAGAATGGATACTTATAAACACATCTAATCAGAAAACTTACATTTGACCAATTCTAAGTTCCTAAAGTAAAAGAAAAGAAAGAGAGAGAGGTGGGTCCTATATTCTGCACAAATGGAAACGCTTGAATGCTAATTTTACCTGTATACCAAATTTCAATCATCTATCGACTGCCAGAGTGGTTTAATCCTTGCCTCGAGTGGGGAGGTTTGTTCAATCACAAACCAAGTTGAACCGAGACTTTAAAATTAGTATCTGCTGTTTCTTCACAAAGCATGTCACATTGAGGAGTGCTGAAGGAGTCCAATTAGGGTGACATGTCGTCCTGTGGACTGTTACCTTGTGACCTAGCACTTTAAAAATCCAGTTCAGCTTGTCTGTTTTGTACAAAGCAAGGTTTTATATTTACATCATATTATAATGTTCTCATCCTGAATATGCATTTATTTTGCCTCTGGACGTTAAACAGCAATCCACCATCAATCATCTATTAGAAATACCTATTCTTGAATAAATTAAATTATAAAAGTCTAAATTTGAACAATGTTAAAATTCCAAACTTATTGATGCATTACACTTGGAACTGAGGACCTTATATTCTGCATAAAATTGAGATACATCTTGCTAGTGTCAATGTCTCCAACTTGTCAATTATCTATCACAAGTAAATCTTGTGCTGTATGGATTATAATGTGACTGTATATGATCAGTGGCGGATCCAGAGGGGGGCGTAAAGGGCGTATCCCTTTGCTTGAACTTTTTTTTTTTTTGTTTGTAAAATGATGAATCAGACTAGACTTCGTGAACTTTGCCATTTCCCGGTCGTGTATTTAATTTTTATGCGACAATTCTTTACTTATAAAGATATTTTTCGCTCGTATTTACTGTAATATATTATTGATTATGTCAGTCATGTGTTTCGCTACGGTGGCGTTGATCAGTACGTTTGAAACGTCACTCAGTCATTTTGAAATTCAAATTACAGTAACACATTGCTTAGGCCGAGGATGACAAGCATGACACCTTCAAAGCCAGAACGTATTGACTTCTATTTCATATTTCCACCCAACAGAAAGTAATACTCTATTACACTCTCATTAAAAAAAAGTTCCACGACAATATTATTTACCTACGAAAATATATTTAACCCCAAACGCCCCAGCCAATTAAAAACATTGCTGAATAATGATCCCCAGTCAGTAAGCTCTAGATATATTAAAGTCTAAGGTACGGACCATTTGATTTGATAGGGCAGTCTGAGATATTTTAGAGAAAAAATTCTGACCCTGATTTTTGCCTTAAAAAACAAAAATTCTGGCTGTATCTGTAATGAAAACAATTATCTTGTCCCCTTTTTTGCTATAAGAAAAAAAAATCCAACAGAATTAATCAGCATTAAATGAACATGGTGAATAAAAAACGGGCGTAATTTTTTTTGGGGGGGTTTGCATGTAAATCCCATATCTGACCGGAAAGTCTGTTTCGCCGAACTGATATACTGAATACTTTTTTCAAGGCCCAACTGCAACCTGCCTGCTGGGTGTGGCTTTTATGTCTCCGTTTGTCGACCGTCATTCACAACTTCGTTGTCATTTGATTTTCACTCATTCGTAGCCTTTGGTTGATTTGGAACACATCACTTCCCTTGTTAAGTGAAACATTTCAACCAAACATTTGGATAAAAATTGCTTGTTTGTCTTTGTTCGTGTCGGTCGTTTTATAAACTTCATTGAATAGCCGTATATCATGTTTACAACAAGTAATCTGTGAGGTTATGCTAACTAACCATACAACAAACGAGAATTTTCCATGTCCATTTTTTACTGACAAATCCCACATCAAATATATTAGTACATAGCTTTAGATCCATTCAATCATTTTATAATAGACAATTAATGGGGAGAATGCGGCATCAAAAATGTCCAACCCAAGCTTACACTTCAACTATAAAATATACATACCCCACGTTAGGAACCGTCACTAAAAATGTGCATTTTACACTTATTTTATGTTTTTTAGCCCAAAAAAATTTTCGTCTCACTCCGCTCGGCGAATTTTACATACTACGCCCCCCCCTTTCCAAAATCCTGGATCCGCCCCTGATATTTATGAAATATGTTATCTTCAGTTATCATCCTTAAATGGACATCATCAGAAAATGAAAATATTAAAAAAGTAACACACTTTGGGGTAATTTTTCAATGTTTCAATTAATATGAAAAAGCTTTTGGGAATTGGATGGGAAAAGTTAAGCAAGGGTTGTTCCATAGATAACTTGCTGAAAGCTTGTAAACTTTGCCATGTTGAAAGTCTAAAGATAAAGGTATTCTACATGTTTCACATAAATTTAACATTTTGAAAGATCAACAGCAATGAGGTCAAGGTAAGATAAATCCTGCCAAACAGACATGTACACCTACAATTATTCCGTACACCAAATATAGTTGACTTATTGCTTATGGTAATTGAAAAACAGACCAAACACAAAAACTTAACCTTGACCAATGAACCATGAAAATGAGGTCAAGGTAAGATGATACCTACTACAGACATATACACATTACAATCATTCCATACACCAAATATAGTTGACCTACTGCTTATAGTATTTGAAAAAACAGACCATTTACTTTCAACTTTAAATGAAAATGGGGTCAAGGTTGGATGAAACATGCCAGACTGACATGTACCCTTTACACACATTCCATACACCACATATAGTTGACCTGCTTATTGTATCTGAGAAACACCTAATCTCTTAGCTTTAACCTTGATCCCTGATCCATATAATGAGGTCAAGGTCAGGTGAACTTTGTCTGAAAGACAAGATGACGTGGCAAAGAACCCATATACAAAACATAGTGATTCTATTACTTATAATAATTGAGAAATTCCCATGGCAAAATAAATGGAGAATGTGTCCGATGGATGATGCCCCTCTTGCATATAACACTTTAAAGAGGCATAACTCGAGAACGGTAAAAGTGACATCACCCAAATTCGAACTTGATCTGTGTTTTGATCGATAAGCACTGTGCACAGACGTACGGAATGGCAAGGGTAACACTGAATGCCCCCTCTGGAGAAGAGGGGGCATTAAGAATGAAAAATGTTTCAAGCAGTCGCTGAACCAGGAAAATGAGGTAAAAAAACAATGGATGTATGACAGACGGAAACTATGTCTCGCTTAATGACACTCAAGCAGGCAAGACAATAAAAACCATGTTTTCTAAGACTTTTTGTGATTTCGGGGCTTTTTATAGCTTGCTGTGTGGTATGAGTATTGCTCATTGTTGAAGGCGGTATGGTGGCCTATAGTTGCTAATACTAAGTCATTTGGTCTCTGGTTGAGAGTTGTCTCATTAGCAATCATACCACATCTTCTTTAGTATACCAATGTAGGACTAAAAGTGTTGGTCTTTTTGACAATTATATTCAAACTCCTCATTTTGAAATGTCAAGTTTAACTTATTCTTATAGTCTTATGGCACCACATTATGATCATGTAAAATTGGGTTTCTATACACTTTTTGCTATTTATCCATCATAAATATATATCACACGGGTTCCTGTAAAATTTTGATATCAGAAGAGAAAAATTATGATGCTACAGTACAAAAGCAATTGTATAAAATCACTAGGTCAAGAGTCACAGCCAAATATTGAACTTGTAGAAATATTTTTGGTGTATTACCATGTGGGCATCTACAAATGTAGTATTCAAATGAACAATATTTAATTCAATCTATTTTTCTTGCACCTAACTTTGAAAATATTTGGGTAGAATTCTGGTTATGATTGCTAAAGAGAATCTGAAACCTCACTACAAAGCATTCCAAAACAGATTTAGTTCCAAATAGTTTATTTGATTATTATTGTCTAAATACATAGTTATTTATTCTGGCACATGTAAAAATACAACTATTTCATTAATGATTGACAAATTCATCAATGCATGCAAAATTAAGCAACAACAAAATGTGCAGACAACTAAATCACCTAGTCAACATTGTCAGACTAGGATACAGTCACTTACCAATAGCATCACACACAAGTATTATCGCAGACTGGGATGTCACTTACAAATAGCATCATACACAACTACCGGTATTGCATATTGGGTTACAGTAACTTACCAATAGCATCATACAAAGGTATCACTGCAGACTGGGATCCAGTTACTTACCAGTAGCATCATACAAATATATTACAGTTGTATGAACCGGCGAATAGTGGCTGACCTGAACAGTATTCTACTGATATCAGTCAGGGGTGCTACTTAAACAAGTGATTTCATCATCACTTATTTCAGTGATTTGATAAATTCAGTTATCACCTATTTAAGTGATTTTAGTGTTTTCTTTGATCTTCAAATGCTAATTTCATTGATTTTCCATATTTTCACAATCTTTTCTATAATTTTCCTACATAAACCAATTATCCCTTTTTCTTTGTATATTAATTTCACCAGTGCGCTTGGGCAGGAAGTTAGTGCGCTAAAGCTTTTAAAAGTACCCTTGGGAATTTTTCTGTAATCAAAAATTCATTAACTACTCTTACTATCAGACAAAGATCAACAATATTAGGTAACCTGATTGGTTTTCTTTAGAGTTAGAATGATCTACTTCAAGGTTATGACCTGATCTACAAACTATTCCAGTTTTTGCATATTTTAAAAAAACTGTAAAAGTGTCAGGCTTATCAAGCAAAAGACAATTTCTGCATGTACATAGTTGTTTTTTCAAAGGAATTGTTGTCTTTTTACCAATAAAAAAATCAAGCTTGTGGGAAAAATATCAAGAAAATGTTATAAACACTTATTAAAGTGATTACATTTTAACTTCTAAAATTACTTGTTTCAGTGATTTTAAAAAGTCTGTGTGAAAATTTTTAATATTTCACAGCCAAAATCACTCGAGGAAGTGATTCTGAAATCACTTGTTTAAGTAGTACCCCTGACTGGATACTGGTCTTACTGTTGTATAATATTAATAGATTAAAACAACTTAGAGTCCTTACATGTGAAAACTAAATAATGCTCAGTTTTCTGATAGAAATATTGTAACACCATGATTGTGATGTCCACATGGAAATTAATTAATTGAATATTTAATCCTACTTTTTAACTCATTTATTCAAATAAAAGTTTCATTTAAAAGCTGACCCCTGGGCCAATTGAAAAATATTCCTTTCTGGCTAACCAACCATTTGTGGTATTATGCCTTTACAGCAACAGAAATAACTCAACACTGACCAAAAATAAATTTATGTAGAATACTAAAAAGATGTCATCAAAATCTGCTCATAAAATTTATAAACTTGCTTATAAAAAAGGGTGAATCAGAGATTGACAAAGGGTATGGTCACTAGTCATTGAAGAACATATATTGACCTCCAGATGTCTCTTTTGGTTTGGTTTTGTTGCTAAGTGTTGTCATCGATGTAGCCCAATACCACCTCCTTTTATTCAAATAATACTTACCATTTTTTTTTTACATAACTTGCTATCAAAACAATCCTTTTCAATACATACCTTCTGACAGTACCAAAACCTTATTCTAAAAATTTAAAATGCCAGAAAAAAAGAGCCCAAATGTACTTTCATGTTAAAATTAAAACCACAAATTATTTAAGACTAAATACATTCTTTCTTTAACAAAACAGCTTCAATCCAATAACAAAAACAATCTTACTTCAGAGATGTTAGAGGAAATGCATTTTGACAATTCCATACCTTTTAATAAATTACAATGTTCAACAAAAAATGGTACTTAGTGAAATACAGCAATAAAAGAACAGTTCCTTGAACCATTCTTTTCTTCAGACTAAAAAATGCAAAATTATTCAAGTGAGCTATAGTTCTGTATCCCCTGAGCTAAGTTATTTGTCATGAACCATTTTCTAGGAATGGACACTTGGTGAACAGGCTGACCAAAACATCCACTTACTCTAATATCAAACTAGATCAGTTACTTAACATATATATGCTATATATCACTAATCTATAAATGTCTATATATTACTGGTAAAAATGTCACTCATTAAACAAATGCAACAAAAATATATATTAAAACAGTCATTAATTAGACTGACAATAATGTCATATAACAAAATTACTGAACAAATATACTCATATATTTATTTTGAAAATTTTATTATATTTCCAACTCATTCATTTGTCATTAGGACTGTAACAAATTTGAAAGTCAATGGGAGTGCCTGAGCACATTTTCCTTTCACTAAATCATGTATACTTAAAGTTTATCATGTCTTGTATTTTGAGAGGTACTTTTTGGTAACAACTTATTCCCTAAAATGATGGGCCTTTATAGCTTACTCTTTTATATATGTAATTGTTATTTTCATTTTCAGGGACAAAGATTATTAAAGTAAAAGTTAAATTAATTATTCAAAAAATTACAACCCTTTGACTTAAATTTAGGATAATGTCAGTTGCCTTCTGATGGTCCTGAAACATCTAGTTTGCTTCTATCTAGATTTAACAGTAAAAATACTCAGAATTTCTCATCTCACAAATAAAAACACTGATCATATTCAACATGATAAGTCCCTTGACTCCCCGAAGCAGGAAACTTACTTTTAATTATGTTTAAAAAAAGAAAAATTAAGAAAAAGGAAATCGCAAGGAGAAAAATCCACTAAGCTAACTTTACATAAACTGTTATCACAGAGATATGTCTCGCCTTTTTGTAATTTTGATAATGCAAATGTTGAAATTAAAATAGCAATACTTTAACATGTAAGTTATGCAAATATTCAAAGTCGATGAACCATGACTGAAGGTCCATGGCTAAACAATCTCCATGGAATGAGATGTGCCAATGCTAATACAACTGCATACCAAATACCATAAGTCGTTCCCTTTAAACAATCCTAAACACAAACATTAACTTGTAAACTATGTAAAAGTTTCAAAGTCAATGAACCATGATCAGGGGTGGGGCTATATAATCTCCATGGAAACGATACTTGCAAATGCCAATACATTTGCATACAAAATATCATTGACTTAACATTAGCAGTTCATCTTAAACTGATCTAATCACAAACTAATACATGTAAACTAAGCAAAATTTTCAAAGTATATAGACCATGACTTAGGGGGCGGAGCCAAATAATCTCCATGGAAATGAGATATGCCAATGCTTATACAACTGCATACCAAATATCATTGACCTACCACTAGTGGTTCCCCATAAATTGACCTAATCACAAACTAATACATGTAAACTATGAAAAGTTTCAAAGTCAATAGACCTTGACTGAGGGGGCGGGGCCAAATAATCTCCATGGTAATGAGATGTGCCAATGCTAATACAACTGCATACCAAATATCATTGACCTACCACTAGTGGTTCACCATGAACTAGACCTAATCTCAAACTAATACATTGTTGACGCTGACGCCGGAAATAGCATACTTATGTCTCGCTTTTTGACTCCGTCAAGGCGAGACAAAAAGCATCTTATTTTATTTTAAAACAATAAAAAAAAATCTTTTTTATTTTTAAATTTTCAAAATTAAGACATTCTTACACTGTTTCTTTCTGGATAGACGATCTTTTTTAAAATTCTGGTTAGGTTTTGATTTCATGAATTTCTGTATGAATTAATCTTATTACACATTATTCAAATAATAACTTAGCAATCTGAAGGTATGCTCAATACAATGATATATAATATACAATATAATGTAAAAAAAAAACTGCTTCACAAGAAAATCATATTATGACCAAAATTCTGATTTCATCAATACCATGTCAAAGTGTACATACCAATTCACTTAAAGCTGTTTTACTTGTTTTTTTCAATTTGATTTAATTTTTATCTCAAACGTAGTAAAAGTTTTAAAATAACCCATTGAAATTAATTGATTGAAGACCCTTCCCTTAAAGGAAAAATACATGCATACATTTTGTAAATACACATGTATCAAATCAAACCATGAACTGTAATCTTAACAATGAGATAAAGGATGCAAAGGTTTTTTCTGATAAGCATTTTTCATTCACAAGTTGTCAATGCTAGAATTATATTAGAATTAGCACAGACATTTGTTGAAAGTTTTCCAGCTACGCATAAAAATGAAAACATTCACTTTAATAAGTGATTATGAAATCATATGGTCAGCATATCTAGATATTTAACTGTTTTATCATTTTTCTTCATTTAGAAACTTTAGGCTGCATTTAAAAGACCTTAGATATAAGAACTTTTTAGTCATAAATAAAAGTTTACAAATTAGAAAGATATTTTCAAATCTGTGTCTAGGCAATATTGCTCCTACTAAACAAGATACTTAAAGCTGGTTATAAACACCATAAAAACTCACACAAGTAAAGCATACTGTTTTGTTTTAAGTAGTATGGAGGAAAATGATAACATTATTGCATATTAAAATGGCCAATGTCGTTTTAAACCTATTACTGGTCATTTCAACAATAAGACAACAAAGCTTTCTTTGATATTTTTCTCTACTAATGTCACTGGTTCTTTCAATTTTGAGCTGCTAACTTCCATACTATCTAAAAAAGAAAAAAAAAATTCCTTACAAACAAATATCAAATTTCCTAATCTTATGGAAAATAATCATTATAACGATTTTCTCTTGTCATCTATAAATGTACTTTAGTTGAAAATAGGCACTTCTTAGTAAAAGGTGGTGTGCTTAAAACTACTTCACATAATTATTTTAAAATTTAAACTTTCAAAGTGTAAACTGCTACAGTACTGACCTTGTACATTTTTGTACTTCTGAAACTCAAGTGTGTAGCATGAACATTTTTTACTTATAAAATCCATTTTCAGAACTTTTATGCCAGCTTACCAAGAAAACTGAATTGTAATATAAGTCAATCTCTTCTCTTTTTTGTGTCCATAATATATACAGGAACTATTTATCTACCATTTGTGTTCATCCTCTGGGTTTTTTAAGATTTATTTTGTCGATCTTTGGTCTTCTGTCATTATTTTGTTGATCAATAATTTTCATTTTGGTTTTGTTGTTATTTTTTGAAATGACATATTTTATCTAAAACTTCATATTTTCTCAAATGTATTTAAATCATTGCGATTAACTCAGAATTATTATAAAATAAACATATTTGTCTGAAGAAAATTAATTCAGCTGAACATGTGTCCTTTCAAAAGACACATTTTATCACCAAACCTCTACCGCCTTGATCCAGATTTTCTTTTCTCAGATGAAGATGATCTTGATCTTGACCGTTTTCGTGTTTTAGGACTGGGTGATCCTGACCTGAGGGAGAAAAAAATTTAAAACAATGAAATATTCAACTCATTTAAAAAAAATATCTAAACCTATTGTAACGGTATATGCACTATGTATAAATATACTGTAAACCAACTTATTTTCGCGGTTACTTTATTTCGCTTTAAGTGCCTTCCAGGCCATTTCGCAGTGATTTAATTTCATAACTTTCAAATTTACTTTATCTTGTTAAATAAGGAAAGATCCAAGTTTTACATGTTCGTGACGATTTATATTCACGTTATTTTTCTACTCGCGAAAGTTGCAAAAATAAATCGCTCACGAAAATTTGTTGGTTTACAGTATTACGAATGGACATAAAAGGAACAGGCTAGTAACATCTCTTAATATGTTAAATTTAAGTCTTAAATAGAATTATATTTAAATTTTATTTAATATTCTCCAAAGATACTATCTGCTTGAATAAGATTAAAGACAACTGGAGTTTTTACTTCAACTATAATCCTAAAAAGAGAACTTTTGGAACTTGTAATGGTGAGTTAACTGGTGTAAAGTGCTAATTGAAATGTCAGTCATACTAGTGAATTTGTCAATTAGACACAAGTACTGTATTTAGAATTTATTGCATGCATTTATTATTGTGATATTTTTTTGAAAAAAGGCAAAAATGCAAGATTAATTCTTATGATTTCAGGATGAGTCCTTATTATTGCGATAATCAAGCTGTTGCCTTACTCACATTAATAAAAACATCCCAATAATTTCTGAATTTACAGTTCCAGGGTACTTGTAAGTTAATACAGGATTTAAATATCTGAAATATTGTTTACACTAAGGTCTTGTGTATTTTTTTTACTTACCTGTGAATCATTTGATATACATATAGATCACATACATTAATATTACGTAAATTGATAATGACCTTTTAACCTTTACCAATGTAACCCTACTGTTACCTTGACCTGGACTTCCCACTTCTTTTTCTTTTTGACCAAGATGATGATCTTGATCTGGACCTTGACCTTGATGAAGAGGAAGACGATGAGCTTGATCTTGATGATGAGTGTGATTTAGATCTAGATGACCTTGATGATGATCTTGATGATGATTTACTTTTCTTGCCATCTTCATCAGAACTTCCTTGGAGGTCATATTTGCTTGCATCACCACCATCATCATCATCCTGCATTAATTAAAAAGGGGAAAATTCAGTTTTTACTATAAAATCTAATTGCATCATAAGAATGCACATGTTACTGTGCTAAGTATAACCTCACTCATAATTCAAATTATCAGAAAACAAGAAGTCTGACACTGCCAAGCTGTAGATTCTTATGTAATCATTCCGTTCGTTAGTTCTGTTTACTAGTACTGGAAATATGTGTAATGAAAAATTTTCTGTTCATTCAACATAATGGAAAATTCAATGTATCTGCAAACAGATAGTAGTCTGACGGATCTGAAAAATGATCATACATAACTCATCACTGTTAAGCTGATTAGCAAATATGAAGTGATTCTGATCAGTAGTACCTAAGAAAATGTGACAGAAATGTTTGTTGAAAGAACTGACAGAAAAAAGGATGGGCAAGGTGAATGCAAAAAGGTAGAAGGTATAATTGTATGATTTACAAATCAAAATTACATATTGGTACTTGAAGTGTATTTGCAGTTTTGTATACATTTGAACATTGTAAGAATAACTGATGCTCTGTGTTCTTACTAGTAAGGTTTTTCAGTTCTAAATGAAATTGGAATTGTTTTTGTAGTATTTTATCTCAGTTGCTTTTTTGGAGGGGGGGGGGGGGGGGGGGGGGGTGAGATCAGCACATGCATACATATTCAGACATACAACTCTAATAAACATGTGGGTATTCAATGAAAAAGATGCCTATAACTCTAGTAGGTTTTAACATGTGGAACTTCTGAAAGATAATATCTTTTAAAGTTATATTTTTATCCAAAATTCAAATCCAAAACACATTTTCAGAATAAAAGCCAGTCTGAGACACATTTCTTTGGGAGTTCCTGGGGTTGTGGGACCAGTAAATTATAAAATAAGCTGTCAGATGTAACTGCTGTAAGGGCCCTTTTTAGCCCTCAATATAAAGTCCTTTATTTTTAAGATGAATAGTATCAATTTGATGAATAAACATGTGAGAAAGTGAAATAGAACAATTAACACACAAAATATACCAAAAATTCGTAAGGGTTCCGCGGAACCCAGTGTCTCACCTACTTTTTCTGTTAATCGCAGGCTCAACAAAAATGAGGAAGTAAATCAATAAAGATATTCCTCTTGATACTATCTTTTGATTGTAAGAAGCTTCTGTCCAAGTTTGTTAAAAATCCAGGATAGTTTATGAATCTAATAAATGTTTAAAAACTTTAACTGCAGACTGAATGTAATGTTAACTGGAAGAAAACAAAAATTTCCTTCTAGATACTAGCATTTGATCATAAACAAGCTTCTGTCCAAGATTGGTACAAATCCAAAATAGTATAAGAAAGTTATTAAAATTTTAAAAACTTTAACCACAGAGTGAATGTGTTGTTTCCTGGCAGAAAATCTAAGTCCATTTAAAAGTAAAATAAGGAAAAAATAGATTTTTTTTTTTACAAAATTTACTTCTGGATACTATCTTATGATCATAAACAAGCTTCTGTCCAAGTTTGGTAGAAACCCAGGATAGTTTAAGAAAGTTATTAAAATTTTAAAAACTTTAACCACAGAGTGAATGTAATATTTCCCGGCAGAAAAACTAAGTCCATTTATAAGTAAAATACGGAAAAAATGGAATTTTATTTTTACAAAATTAACTTCTGGATACTATCTTATGATCATAAACAAGCTTCCGTCCAAGTTTGGTAGAAATCCAGGATAGTTTAAGAAAGTTATTAAAATTTCAAAAACTTTAACCACAGAGTGAATATTTGTGGACGCCGCCGACGACAACGACGACGACGCAGACGGAATGTAGGATCACTATGTCTCGCTTTTTCGACTAAAGTCAAAGGCTCGACAAAAATGGGATATCATAATGAAAATTGACAAAATCTTCTGGATTTCAAGCAAATCTAGGTATAGGCGTGCACAGTTCGACTCACTTCATATACAAGTAAGATAGGTTATTTGTTACAACAATAATAATATTAAAATATTTTTATCGCCCTGCCATAAAGTGGTCCGGGCCACATAGTTTTACCCTTATCCGTCATTCCAACATTCTGTCATTAATACGTCATTCCGTCATTCTGTCATTCCGCAACGAACTGTTATACAGACTTTTTTTCTAAATAAAATTGAGAATGGAAATGGTAAATGCCTTCACTTATTGAGCTGATTTTGAGTTTGTAAGTCAACTTTGACGAGTTACAGATCAAGTTTACGTTTGGTTCTGCTCTTCTGATTTTTTCCAAAATTATGGGCTTTGGACTTTAAAATTTCGTGAAAATAATAGTTATACGGACTTTCACTCTCAAATTTCCACTCCTAAAAATAACTTCAAGCTTTTTTTGCAAGTGGGGCCAATCGTTACGACACATCTAGTTTTTACATGTTTCCTTTTCCTTAAAATAAATTGAAATCTGCCTATTTTCGATGTTTCTGTTGAAAGTTTATACTCATCTACAACTAATTATGAAAACTAATATATAACCTTTGTCAAATAGATATAAACAATTATTTTTTATCAAGGATGTTTCCTCCTCTGTTTCAAAATAACAAGCTTTTGAAAAGACTGTTATAAATTGATAGTATATAAATAACAGAACTTAAAAAGCAGAAAAAATAAAAGGTCTTTGTCCTTTTGATTTTGAGATATATATATATAATTAATTGAAAATTTGGCAGGATAAAATTTTCTCTAGATTTTTGTTATACATTTAACATTGGCACATTTTCTCTTTCAAAAACTATGAAAAAATAACAAGGATTTTATAAGATTTTCGAAAAGTGGATTTTTAAACTATATGTAATAAAATTATGAAAAGAAAAGGGATTAGCGGGCAAAATTCTTATTGGCACTATATGGATAAAACTCAAGGATTCCAAATATCTGACAAAAAGTCAAAAACTAGAGTAGCAAACATCCTTAACACACTAGAAATCTAACCTCATCAGAATCTAGCTGGTATTTAGATACATCCTCATCATCGTCATCATCCTCTTCTTCCTCCTCCTCCTCTTGCTCCTCATTTTCTTCATGCTTTGGTTCTGGTTCAATTACCTTTGTTTCAGTAGAATTTCTAAATTTCTTTTTCTTTCTACCAAACTAGATAAAAAAAAATTCATTAAGTGAACCTTCACAATGTATTCAAATGGACTAAATGTGCAAATATGTATAGATATCTTAAAATAACTGATCAGATACTTTCTTGTCTTGCTGATCATTTTTGTCATTTTAAAGATTCTATCCATCTATTATAGTTTTCAAGATAAATGACAAAAACTGTATTTTACCCCTATGTTCTATTTTTAGCCATGATGACCATGTTTGGTGGAAGGCGGCTTCATCAAACACTTTTTTAAACTAGATACACTGTTGATGATTTTTTCAAAGTTTGGTTAAATTTGGCCCAGTAGTTTCAGAGGAGATGATCTATTCAAAAGTTAAAGGACTACAGACCTCAATGATGGCAAAAGCTCACACTTGCCCTTTAGGCCAGGGGAGCTAAAAAAGATAAAATCTATGTATTTATCATTGTTAACATAAAAATAAGAATTATTAAAAAAAAAAACACAAACTACAATCTCATAGATAAAACAAATACTGAATTGTGAAATAAAAACAGAAATAACCTCATCAACTAAAGCATCATCTTCTTCAACATCCCGGTGTACATATTCAACAACTTCGTCCCTTTCCATATAACCTCCTCCAAATCCTGCAAAACACAATCATTAAATTAACACATTGAATTGTCTTAAACCATCATTGCATATTTCAAAACTGTAATCCTCAGCTCCACATCTGAAAATCTAGTTACATATTTCAGAGTAATCACAGATACAAAATGCCTTCCACCAATTGTCTGTATTTGAAGATATGGTTAAGTCCATGTAATATATGTGCTATGGAGAACCCTAAAAATCAGATAAAAAATAAAGCAAGAGGTACCAAATGCAAACTACATAAGAAAGAAAACAAAACAAAAAAACAATGAACATCTTTTGCTGTAAAACACATGACGTGAACCAAATATTGTGAAATCATACATATTGTCAATGTAATTGATAAATCTAAGTGTGCATAGATAAATACTTATAAATGTTTTAGTAAAAAAATAAATAAAAGAAGGTTGCAAGACATTTTTATGGATGGACAATACACAAAACTGATGTTCAACCAACTTACGGTAAGACACACAGAACTGTGTCTTCATGTATAATATTTTCGTTTATAAATAAAGTTTTTCAAAATGTCTAACTTTTCTAAATAAAATTGGAAACCAAAACAAATTTGACATACCTGTTCTTTGCTCAGTTTTCCCATACTTAGGAGCATTACACAAATTACATGTCATTCTTCTGGCCCAGTTTACATTCCCACAACTACAAAATAGGGAATGATACATTTTGATCAGTTTGCATTGTTTTGCAAAAGTATATATTTGCTTAAGCATATTTAATATGAATATTTATGTTTGTGAAATGACTTCTCGGAGAATCAACAATTGCAACTTCACAGTAAATAAATGGGGAATGTGTCCAGATGATGCCCCCGCTTGCATATCATATAAAGTTATAAAGGGACATAACTGAAGAACGGTAAAGTGACAGTACCCAAATTTGTACTTGATCTGTGTTTTGTGGTAATAAGTATTGTGTATAAGTTTCATAACATTTGTTTGAGGCAAACTTAAGTTAGAGAACGGAAACGAAAAATTCAGCAATTTTTCCGTTTCTAAAGGGGCATAACTCTAGAACAGTAAAAGTGACACCACCAAAATTCAAACTTGATCTGTGTTTTGTGTTAATAAGCATTGTGTATAAGTTTCATAACATTTGGTTGAGGCAAACTATTGTTAGAGAACAGAAACGAAAAATTCAGCAATTTTTCAATTTGTAAATGGGCATATAATAACTCTAGAACGGTTAAAGTGACACCATCAAAATTCAAACTTGATCTGTATTTTGTGGTAATAAGCATTGTGTATAAGTTCCATAACATTTGGTTGAGGCAAACTTATGTTAGAGAACAGAAACGAAAAATTCAGCAATTTTTCCATTTGTAAATGGGCATATAATTACTCTAGAAAGTGACGCCACCAAAATTCAAACTTGATCTGTGTTTTGGGATAATAAGCATTGTGTATAAGTTTCATAACATTTGGTTGAGGCAAACTGAAGTTAGAGAAGGGAAACCAACTTTGGGACGTACGGACGGACAGACAAGGGTAAAACTTAATGCCCCCTCCGCTACGGCGGGGGCATAAAAATAAGCTTGACAATAATTTATCTTCATCCTTATAATATCTAGAATAAAATATATTCGTGATCTTTTTGGCCCATACTTTTCATTGTAAATGATATTTGCTGAAAGTCACAAACACAACTCTTTTCATAAATGATAACTTTTTCATTGAATAACATATAAAATACACAAAATTAATATGAGTTACGAGTACTGCTAGCTATGTTCACAAAATGTTACACTGAGCCTCTGGTAAAATGGAAGATTTGCGATGGAAAATCCCATAAAAACATAATGTAATTCCAATAAAAAACAAAATACTGTATAGCGGGTTATTTTTGCTGGGTGTTAATTTTCGCTTATTTTGGCGGTTAAATGAAAATCGTGAAAATAAATTCTGTTCTGTACTTCCGAATAGGTAAAGCATTCTGTCAAAGATCTCTATTTTTCCTGTAGGCAGGTCGATAACGGTAAATGTTAGTTTTAACAACATAAATGTCAAAAGGCATTGTACATACATGTACTTTATAAAATGAGTCTTGAGTTCTATCTAAACTATATACACTTATTAATTAGTGTCAAATAAGGTACTCTGTCAGGTATTTTACCATTATCAATTAGTGTCAAATTATATGAGAGTTGAAAGTTCACTCTTGATACTTTTATAACTCAATAAGTACATCAAAGGTCAGGTCAATTTCGTAACTAATCAACTGCAACATTTACAAGTAGCTTATACATCTGTGACAAATATATAAGTTACCACATTCTATTGATTAACTGTATCAGAATATAATCAATAAATAACACGTCAATCAGGCAGAAAAATTATTTAATCATTACAATAGACACTTGTTTGATTTATTTTTTTTACTGCAACCATTTCAGTATCCACCAAAATATTAGTTGGCAATTGAGAATCCGCCAAAATATAAACTGCCAAAATTTTTGGTATACTTTGTTGCCCCTAAATCGTAAAATTTTACACCCACGAAAAAAACCTGTTATACAGTAGGTGCACAATGTCTGGATTTTTCATATCAAATGTAAGGATATATGTTAAAGCCACTTGAAACACTCATAACAATCAAAATACAATTGACATTTCAAATCCCAAGGCAAAATAGCCATTTACTGGGCTATTGAACCCACCAAGAAGGCAACATAGAATTTTAATTTAAGTGGTTTCAAAATTTGTGAAGTCAACATTAAATGTATGAAAAATATATGAGAAACAACAAGCATTCTGAGAGTATTGCACGGCAATACATAGTCCCCTACCGGGTAAAAATTCATTATACTGGAAAAAAATGCTAACTTGTCATGGTGTGAACAAAAAGAAAATATCAAGTCAATATCTTCAAGCATGACTAAAAACTGTGTGGAAAACTGATTATATGAGTGAATTTTTCAAGTCCAAGGACCATACATATGTAACTCTGCACAAAATTATCAGACAGAAACAAAAATTTGAACTTGATCTGTAACTTGTCATGATAAAACTATATACCAATTATCAATCAATATCTTCAAACATGATGAAAAAAAGTGTGGAAAACACTCTAGCATTAGATGTGATTAATAGTTCTCTAAAATTAGATATGATGTAATACAATGTATATTTATTTTCAAGTTATAATCAAATATAATTAATAGTTCCAAATATTTTTTCTTTCATTTGTCACAAACTAATATAGATTTGTAACTTATCTATAAAATGTCAACAACTTTTATCTATACACAATGTAATGTAATGAAAAATATACCTTAATAAAAATTTATTATTATCTAATTAAAAGATTTCACAATTTTTTTTTTTATGTATATAGCATTCAGAAAATTAGTTTATACAAAATAAAAACACTTCAAACAATTAACCAAAGAATGTCTTTAAAAAAATGAGTTATCTCTCTTTGTACAGAAATATGGTTTAACATACAAAATGTAGTACTCTAACATTAGATATGGACCATGATAACTCTGGACTAAATCATCAGACCGGAACAAAATTCGAACTTGATCTATAACTTGTCATGATAAAACTATATGCCAAATATCAAATCAATATCTTCAAGAACGAAGAAAAAAAGTGTGGAAAGCTGATTTGCCGGACTGACAGATGGACAGACGGACGGACAGACAGACAGACAGATGGAGTGCAAACCTAAAGTCCCCTTCGACTTCGTCGATAGGGGACTAATAAAAATTTCAAAATATGTGTACTAAAAGCAATCTTAAAATGTAAACTTTACAAAAATGTCGAGAAAGAAAGGGGTTGCTGAACAAAAATTTTAGTTAACAACCAAGGGAGTCAGAGTGCTTACATTGTACATGATAATATATTAAGAAAAAAATTAAAACAGTGTGATTAGTAATGGTATTACACAATTCTTTATTTTATGGTGAATTTGCTGAACCAAATAAGTCCCAAATACACTTTCTCCTTTATAGCATATACACAATCAACACTGATAAATCACTTGTATATGAGCACTATTCTTTTTACCTTTTACACTGCCAGTCATCAGCACTAAATAAACCTTTACTTTTTTCTGCCAATCCTTTTCCTATTTCTGTTCCTCCTTTCTTAAAAATCAATCCATCTTTCTTTTCTGTAATAAGAAAAGAAAGAATTAACAAGCATTCTGAGAGTATTGCATGGCAATACATAGTCCCCTACCGGTTAAGAATTCATTGTACTGGAACAAAATGCTAACTTGATCTAAAACTTTGCATGGTGTAAACTATATAACAAATATCAAGTCAATATCTTCAAGCATGACGAAAAAAAGTGTGAAAAACTGATTATTTGAGTGAATTTTCTAAGTCCAAGGACCATAACTCTGCACAAAATCATCAGACCAGAACATAATTCGTTCTTGATCTGTAACTTGTCATGATAAAACTATATACCAATTTTCAAATCAACATCTTCAAGAATGACGAAAAAAAGTGTGGAAAACTGATTATTTGAGTGAGTTTTTTAAGTCCAAGGACCATAACTCTGTACAAAATCATCAGACCAGAACATAATTCGTTCTTGATCTGTAACTTGTCATGATAAAACTATATACCAATTTTCAAATCAATATCTTCAAGAGTGACGAAAAAAAGTGTGGAAAACTGATTATTTGAGTGAATTTTCCAAGTCCAAGGAACATAACTCTGCACAAAATTATCAGACTGGAACAAAATTCGAACTTGATCTGTAACTTGTCATGATAAAACAATACACCAAATATCAAATCAATATCTTCAAGCATGAACAAATGAAATGCTCCGCTGGGCGCAGCTTGATACGACCACAGCGGTCGAACCCTGAACAGTTGGGGCAAGTATGGACACAACATTTAAGCTTGATACAGCTCTGAATTTGGATTGTGATTAAATATTTGACACAGCACAGGTTTCTGACACAGAATGAATGTGGTCTAAGAACTTAAAAATTTTTAATTTACCTATTCAAACCAAATCATTATTATTTGCTTTATATATAAATCAGAAATAACCAATTTAAAATGGAAAATTTTAAAGAAAAAATTTTTTGAAGCAATTACCCCCAAAATCAATCCCAGCCTTCCCTTTAACTTTGTGGTATGGTACCTTGCAGTACAATTTCAGAGAGATCCATACACTTGAACACAAGTTATTGTCTGGAAACTAGAAAAATGCTTATTTTTGGCCGCTTTTTGGCCCCTTATTCCTAAACGTTTTGGGCAATTACCCCCAAACTCAATTCCAGCTTTCCCTTTGTGAAATGGAACCTTGTAGTACAATTTCAGAAAGATCCATACACTTACACACAAGTTATTGTCATGAAACTAGAAAATGCTTGTTTTTTGCCCCTTTTTTGGTCCCTAATTCCTAATTTTTTTAAGGCTATTACCCCCAAAATCAATGCTTATTTTTGGCCCCTAATTCCTTAACTGATGGTACCATAACCCCCAAAATCAATCCCAACTTTCCTTTTGTGGTATTGAACCTTATGGTAAAATTTCATATAGATCCACTTACTTAAACTAAAGTAAGAGTGCGAAAACCAATGTGTCTTCGGACGACGACGCCAACGTCATACCAATATACGACCGCAAAGTTTAAAAAAGTGTGGAAAACGGATTTGCCGGACTGACGGATGGACAGACAGACAAACAGACAGAGTGCAAACCTAAAGTCCCCTTCCACTTTGTCGGTAGGGGACTAAAAATCAAAAAAAGTTGGTAAATAAAAGAAGAATGTGTCACTTGTAAATATATGGCAAATTCAGCAATTTTTCAATTTATAAAATTCGTAAGGGTTCCGCGGAACCCAGTGTCTCGCCTACTTTTGCTGTTAATCGCAGGCTCAACAAAAATGAGGAAAAAAATTAATCAAAATATTCCTCTCTATACTATCATTTAATTGTAAGTAGCTTCTGTCCAATTTTGGTAAAAATCCAGGATAGTTTATGAATCTAATAAATGTTTTAAAAACTTAAACTGCAGACTGTATGTAATGTTAACTGGAAGAAAAACTAAGTCCATTTATAAGTAAAATACAGAAAAAATGGAACAATATTTTAACAAAATTTCCTTCTAGATACTAGCTTTTAATCATAAACAAGCTTCTGTCCAAGTTTGGTAGAAATCCAGGATAGTTTAAGAAAGTTATTAAAATTTCAAAAACTTTAACCACAGAGTGAATGTAATGTTAACTGGCAGAAAAACTAAGTCCATTTATAAGTAAAATACGGAAAAAATGGATTTTTTTTTTTTACAAAATTTACTTTTGGATATTATCTTATGATCATAAACAAGCTTCTGTCCAAGTTTGGTAGAAATCCAGGATAGTTTAAGAAAGTTATTAAAATTTCAAAAACTTTAACCACAGAGTGAATATTTGTGGACGCGGCCGAAAAGTCGAAGGCTTGACAAAAAGGACATAACTCGAGGACAGCTAAAGTGACGCCACCAAAATTCAAATTTGATCTGTGTTTGGTGGTAACAAGCATTCATAATTTCATAACATTTGGTTGAGGCAAACTAAAGTTAAGGTGCGGAAACGGCAAGTTTAGCAATTTTTCCATTTATAAAGGGACATAACTTGAGAACAGCGATAGTGACACCACTCAAAATCGATCTTGATCTAATTTTGGTGGTAACAAGCATTGTGTACAAGTTTTATTACATTTGATTGAGGCAAACTAAAGTTAAAAGACGGAAACTTATTTTGAGAAGTACAGACGAAGTGTAAAACTTGATACACCCTCCGCCGTGGCAGGGCCATAAAAATGTCATTAAAGGCCAATAACTCCTATAATGAGTCGTTGTAAGATTTCAGTCATACTAACAATTTTGTAGATCGTGCCTTGCTGATCATTTTTGCTCATTTAAGTTTTCATCTATTTTTAAGATATAAGTCAAAAACACAAAACATTGGTAAAATTTGTCATTTAAGGGCAATAATTCCTATAGGAAGTTGTCTGAAAGTTTTGATTTGAAAAAACAAAACGTAGATCTGAGCATTTTGTATCAGATTTTATCCGTTCATAGTGGTTTTCAAGATAACAGATGAAACTTGCATTTTACCCCATATTCTATTTTTAGCCATGTCAGCCATGTTGGTTGACAGGTGGGGTCATAGGTCAACTAAATATCCAAATGATGCTTGTGTCTTATATTAGTTTGGTTAGATTTGGTCCCGTAGTTTCAGAGGTGAAGATTTTTGTAAAAGTTAACAGACGACGACATACAATGCCATGCAACTGATGAGAAAAGCTAAAAATGCAGATGGATGGACAACTGTATACCAAACTATATCAGTCAATGAAAAGTTAGTAAAAATTATAAATTACCTTTACCACATTTGTTACACTGAGTTCTTCTAGAAAAGTTGACATTGCCACACCTGTAAGATAGATATTGCAGTTACATATACTGGTATACATTATATATAACTTTAAGTTTCATTAACAAGTAGTTAAGAAAACCTTTTTTTCAGCAAAAGAAAACCATATATATGTCAGCGCTATTAGGAATATTGACAAAATAATTGACAAACAAACAATTAAATACCACAGCAAGGTATACATTTGTACCTTTATATAGGTCAACATATGAAATATTGACCCTTAACAACAAAAGATAAGATTCTACAATAACTTTTTAAACCTGTTCCATCACCATACATCAGACAAGGACTTTCAAATTTGTTTCTGGTCTAAAGTATTTTTTTTTTTAATTTGACCAAAGCATTAAACAAAGAAAAAATATTTCAAATGATAACATGTATATTTTTTCTATCATGTTACAAAAATGTAGGTAATTCTATCAAGCATTATTACTCAAATTCTTATATTTTTTGTAGGGATGTCAACTCGGTGAACATTTACTAATCAAGTACTAGTTGGTTTTATTGAGCAATACTCGAGGACTCGCTTGGGAATATTTCTACAACATGGAAACACAAAAATATGTATTTTACATTCTGTGGTTTGTAACAGTTGTTCAATGGACGAAAAACCATCTACATAAGTATCTGGGACAAGGAATTACACACCATAATTAATAGCTCATTACCTACAAGTACTACTTAATTTAAAAACAATAATCTAATAAATATAATTTAATGGACACCTATTCAAAAATAATAATAAGGAAAAACCATATCAAACAATAGTATTTGGTAATCGTTAAGAAAACACATCTAATATTTACAAAGGCGTAAGGATTAGAAGTTTATCTATTAACTGAGGGTCACCAGAGGATGCAATGAATTTGTTTTATTTGGAATAATTATTTTGTCAACTATTATTGGGGTCAGTCGGTTTTGCAACTTTGTAAAAACAGTCTTGCAGAAGAAAATATTTGCTCTGATGGTACCTATGTGACGGAATGTCTAAGACATGTTTAGTTTAAAGTGTTGGCCTTGGTATAGCCCATGTATTTTCGGAGGCATTTTAAATGGAAATTTAGCACAAGCATTCGAAACAAAATGTATTTTATTTACTAGTATGATTAATCAGTGATGCCTATTTAATTTTTCGAAAGAGGTTCTCGAGAAGATCAATTTTATATATAAAAGACAGCAATATTCTAACAGGAAACTGATTAGTCAAGAATTGTTTTGGTATTCGATACTCGGTACTACCGAGCGATACCCGAATACTCAAGTACTCATTGACATCCCTAATTTTTTATAAGTCCATCACTTTGTGGTCCAAAAAGGCCCTTAATGCACAAACTCAATCACTTGTGACACAGTATAAACATAATCATTACCTGATCTGTACATAAATCAGGCTTTTAGTTTCTTAATGTGAATTGTTTTACACTTGTCGTTTTAAGGGCTTTTATAGCTTGCTATGCGGTATGGGTTTTGCTCATTGTTGAAGGCCATACGGTGACCTATAGTTGCTAACCTTTAGTGATCGGGAAGGTCTAGCGCAATTTGCGCATTTTGACCAAAAATGGTGCTAAGAGTGACAAATGTCAGCCCCAATGTGGCGCACATTATTTTCGCTTGTATCAACATTTAGATATCATAAAAAGTATTTCCGTGTCGCCATTTTTGTGTACAAAACAAGGTTGTGCTTTGCTCCAATGACAGGAGCACCACCTACATTTTTGGGCCGTCGAAGGTGTTTTGCTTCATGTTAACAGTTAACAATAGCAACTTGCGGCATATCTGAACCCCAAACCATGATCAAATTTTCAAAGTAAACAACGTTTATTCTGTGAAAGTTGGCTAGTACAGATGAGAAATTTTCTCAAATTATAATCTTTAAAGTAAACTTGCTATAATTTTGATCGAAAAACCCAAGGGCCTTTTTTAAAATATCGTACTTGTCTCCATAAAAGGCGCTTCATTGTTCTTGTCAATTTTTTGGTCTTTGGTTCGTTTATAAATTTTGTAAACATGCCTCCAAAGAAGCAATGAATTGTTGTTTTGCATGGCCATTGATTGCGATAAAAATAATAATAAAAAAAAAATGCTGAGGAAATGCCTGAAACGTCCTCAAATACAGAACTTCGGACAAAGTATGTCAGTTGACGAAGACCCAAATTTAATGTCAAAGGAACTTGAAAAATAAACAAGGAGACTGTACTGGTGAAGGTACTAGTATTAAAACAGTAAATAAAGATTCTCATAAATATCACCCTGTTTGGGAGAAGTTATGGCCCTGATTATTGTATGATGGCAGCAAAATGTACAGCAAATCTTGCCAAAAAGCTGGAAAGAAAAATACCATGGCATTAGGCTGCACAACATTTAAAACCAGTACAATCTTGATTTCAGCATTTCCTTAATCTTGATTCATGTTCATTGAAGTGGTGTTGGTCTTGGTCATATGTTGTTCAGTTCTATAGTTTTTATTATAAGTCATAAAGTGTCAATTTCTGAGTGAGGTTAAGTATCATGAACACATATATATATGATGTCAGTCTTAGCTGGGACTATTATACTAGTCCCAGGTCTTAGTCACATAAATCACCATGAACTAAATATAAATTAACATTTGTTCACTCAAAACTACAAAAGCACAGGAACAATATCAATTAGAATCATACAGGTTAGTACCTCTTCATGCTCTTTGCTGAGACATACACTTTTGATATTTTTTTGTTGCCCATTCATTTGACAAATTGCCCATTAACTCTAAAAATGGCCCATTGAATTTTTTTTTTTTTGGGGGTATGGTACCTTGCAGTACAATTTCAGAGAGATCCATACACTTGAACACAAGTTATTGTCTGGAAACTAGAAAAATGCTTATTTTTAACCCCTTATTCCTAAATGTTTTGGGCAATTACCCCAAACTCAACTCCAGCTTTCCCTTTGTGATATGGAACCTTGTAGTACAATTTCATACACTTACACACAAGTTATTGTCATGAAACTAGAAAAATGCTTGTTTTTTGCCCCTTTTTTGGCCCCTAATTCCTAAAATTTTGAGGCAATTACCGCCAAAATCAATCCCAGCATTCCCTTTGTGATATGGAACCTTGTGGTACAATGTCAGAGAGATCCATACACTAACACACAAGTTATTGTCTGGAAGTTACAAAAATGCTTATTTTTGGCCCCTTATTCCTTAACTGTTGGTACCATAACCAAAAATGTTTTGCAGTCGTATAAAAGGTACTGTGGTCGTTGGTTTAATCCTTAGTGTGGTCAGGCTAAAGACTTTAAAATCTATATTAAATTTGCTGCTTCTCTTCTAAGCATGCAACATTTAGTAGTAAGAGCAAAGACTTGTTGGCTGTTAGTCTGAATAGTGTGTCCGGTTAGTGTAACAAGTCTATCTGCGGGCGTGAACTGGCACAGATTGTCAGTTTAGTACAAATCAGGGTTCATATTTATATCACATTAACAAGTTCTTGTCCTGATTAATGCATTTAATCTAGCCAGCCATTCATCATCATCATTCTTGAAAACATATTATTTGGTTCAGCCTAAGAGTAATTATATGCATGTACATTGGACCGTATAGAAAATATTTTGTTTGGATGGTCTTCTTCAGAATTTATGAATATCAGGCTAGTTGAAAAGCTATTATACCTTTGGGCTTACATGTATATTAAGTCTTATTGGCAGAAAGCCCATAGAAAAGGTCTATACATTATCTGTTATGTTCACAGATTCGTTTTTTGGTACTGATTTTGAATTACCGGTATATAGTCATTTAAGAAAGCCAAGTATTTGGTGTCAATTTGAAGTAAAAATGTATGGCTGCCAATTATTTATATGAATTCTAATATTCTAATGATCTCTTAGTCCATGCAGTCTCTGGTCAATGTTAACAAGATGATTCATCAGACTGTTTGCAATCCACATTCGTTATGGGTGATGGTATTTATTAAATGGCAAATTAATAATGAAAGAAACATTTTTTTTTAATCATCTTTTGTCATGTTATTTTCTGTCAGACAATTTTTCTTTTTTTGTTTAGTTGCAAGATTTATTTTATTTTGGTCTGCAAAATTTTTTTCATAGAGATAAGTGTTTTTACGATATATATAAGCCCCCCTTTCCCATTTAATAAAACCTCGTTTTTTATACGATCCTAATTAAAAAAGTTAGTGTTTTTTTTTATTTCCCATTGAAAAATATTAATTGTTTTCAAAGATTCTGGCCTCCTGGGTGTAGTAAGTAACCATTCAACTTCCTGCTTACAAGGTGTCAATTTAAACTCAGTCATTAGAACATGTTGTGATTTACCTGGTTAACAAATAATTCACACCTAATACATGTCACATTGCGAAATTACGTCTCTGACACGTTTATATTCAAATTAGAAATTTATTGCCATTTAGAATTAAATATTTATCTGAAATACACATTTAGAACGTGTAGAATCCATAAATTTGCGAACAATAACAGAAAAACTCAATGCAAGCCCGTTATGAAACTATCAAACTAAAACACTAAGAAACCATAATTTTACCTACAATCATAAAAACAACTCAATTAAAGCCATATGAAAGTATCAAATAATTATAAACACATTCTCAATTTTACAATATAATTAATCAAGAATCATATATTATTATTTAATATCAAGAATACAAAGCCGACCATGATTAAAGATTAATAAACACATAAATTAAAATAATAGCAAGTTTATACTGGGACATAATATATTAGTATAATAGTCTCAGTTTGATACAAACCCAGGTTATATAATTTGATTATGTTATTTATTACACTGAAAGCCGAGTCGGTTTCATAACAGAGGTTGTTAGAACATTCATCATTACTTTGAGAACTTTTAATTACCAAAGTAGATTGCGCGAGGATTTATTAGTGGCCACGAAAATATACGTTAGTTCGCCGAGTTGCGAATCTCTTGTACTATATGTCTCTGGTTATACTACACATAACAATTAGTTTAACTGACTTTAAATTCAACAATTTAAAGCTAGGAAACTGCCAGATCACTTCAATTCTACATCTTGGCAAATTCCAAAGCATCAGTGCTTGCCAACATTTCTTTCACGACTTTGGCGAGCAGAGGTCTCACTAATTAGCGACAAGAAGCGACAAGAAGCGTCAAGAAGCAACAAGAAGACAAATTTAGCGACAAAAAAGTTTAAATACTATTAAAACTAGAGGCTCTCAAGAGCCTGTGTCGCTCACCTGACTCTACTTTGGTTTTAGAAATCATGTAAAGATAGATAAAAATCATAACAGATACCCAAATAATGATTGAGGCCAAATTTTGATTAATATTGGTCCCGTTATTTAATAAAATATCCTGGTGGCCATCTTGAACAGTAAATCGACAACAAAGTAGCAACACTTGGTCAGCACTTCATAAGGAACATTCATGCCATGTTTGGTTTCATTCCATTCAGTGGTACTCTAAAAGAAGACATTTGTATGTATTTCCCATAGGGTCCTATGTTAAACTAAGCCCCCCCCCCCCTAGCGGCCATCTTGGATGATGGATCGACTGCAAAGTAACAACACTTGGTCAGCAACCCATAAGGAACATTCATGCCATGTTTGGTTTCATTCCATTCAGTGGTTCGCTAAAAGAAGACATTTGTATGTATTTCCCTTAGGTCCTTTGTTAAACTAAGTCCCCTGCTGTCGGCCATCTTTGATGATGGACCGACTGCAAAGTAACAACACTTGGTCAGCACCTCATAAGGAACATTCATGCCATGTTTGGTTTCTTTCCATTCAGTGGTTCTCTAAAAGAAAACATTTGTATGTATTTCCCATAGGATCCTATGTTAAACTAAGTCCCCCGCTGGCGGCCATCTTGGATGATGGATCGGCTACAAAGTAACAACACTTGGTCAGCACCTCATAAGGGACATTCATGCCATGTTTGGTTTCATTCCATTCAGTGGTTCTCTAAAAGAAGACATTTGTATGTATTTCCCATAGGGTCCTATGTTAAACTGAGTCCCCTGCTGGCGGCCATCTTGGATGATGGACCGACTGCAAAGTAACAACACTTGGTCAGCATCTCATAAGGAACATTCATGCCATGTTTGGTTCCATTCCATTCAGTGGTTCTCTAAAAGAAGACATTTTTATGTATTTCCCATAGGGTCCTATGTTAAACTAAGTCCCCCGCTGGCGGCCATCTTGGATGATGGATTGGCTACAAAGTAACAACACTTGGTCAGCACCTCATAAGGAACATTCATGCCATGTTTGGTTTCATTCCATTCAGTGGTTCTCTAAAAGAAGACATTTGTATATATTTCCCATAGGGTCCTATGTTAAACTAAGTTCCCCGATGGCGGCCATCTTGGATGATGGATCGGCTACAAAGTAACAACACATGGTCAGCACCTCATAAGGAACATTCATGCCATGTTTGGTTTTATTCCATTCAGTGGTTCTCTAAAAGAAGTCATTTGTATGCATTTCCCATAGGGTCCTATGTTAAACTAAGTCCCCCGCTGGCGGCCATCTTGGATGATGGATCGGCTACAAAGTAACAACACTTGGTGAGCACCTCATAAGGAACATTCATGCCATGTTTGGTTTCATTCCATTCAGTGGTTCTCTAAAAGAAGTCATTTGTATGCATTTCCCATAGGGTCCTATGTTAAACTAAGTCCCCCACTGGCGGCCATCTTGGATGATGGATCGGCTACAAAGTAACAACACTTGGTCAGCACCTCATAAGGAACATTCATGTCATGTTTGGTTTCATTCCATTCAGTGGTTCTCTAGAAGAAGTTCAAAATGTAAAAAGTTAACGCCGACGACGGACGACAAGTGATGAGAAAAGCTCACTTGGCCCTTCGGGCCAGGTGAGCTAAAAAAATAGGAATATTTCAATTAATTGCAGTTGATTATTTGCTGTTTTATAAAGTTTCAATCATGTTTGTTAGATTTAGTACCACTACGTTCAATATAGTATTTTAATGAATTTTTAGAAAAAATATTTTATTACATTATATTAATGTATGTATCAATCTGAACATTTGTAACAATCCCATGTCCCATCCTATATATATATTATATATATGGACCTTTTTAGTGAAATAAATAAAGATTAGATTATCTGATAATTTGGTTTGAACCTTTGATATATCAACCATGCCGACTCTACGTATTATCGATTTATTCATTTATACAGTAAACTGTAAATATATCTATTTAAACATATTATCCTTGAAAAACTCTTTCTAGAACATTATTTTCTTCGCTCAGTATCATTAGAGACATATATGTCTCTGGTATCATGAAATAATGAAAATTCTCGTATATTTAAAATAAAACCACACACATTTTAATGCATGTTTCTATATCTATTTGTTTCAAATAATCATTATTTAGATATCTTAACGCTAAATTTATTTTCTTGTCGCTAAATAAGCTTTCTTGTCGCTTCTTGTCGCTAATTAGTGAGACCCGTCTCACACTTTACCTAGGGCTGAGGTAACAATCATTAATTATGTTTGACACCCATGCTGCCAAGGAAAGCCATCTATGTCCAAATTAATTTTGGCTTAACTTTAAATTTGTTGATAAACCAGAAACAAATGTACATTGGCAATATTAAATCGTCAATTTTGCTGTTGTTAATCGTATGAAATGGTCTTTGTTGATGGTAGGAAATGGCAATGGTATAAAATGGTATAAAATGGCTCGCTTCTACTTCTTACACAAGCTGTATCATCTACTAATTATTACTTAATTTTCTGGTTAAATTAAAAGAAAAAATTATGTTGACCAGGAGTAAGTCCAAATTAGTATTACTATTAAACTACAAAATAATTTATCAAAATATTACGGTATGACTGTGCTTAGACACTACAGACTACAGTATAGGATGCTATATATGTTTTGCAGCATCATTAAAATCACCATACATATGCATGAAATTATATACTTGGTATCATTGCAGATCCAGTCGCCCTCATTAGGTTTGAATCTCGACGACATATTTATCGGGAAAAATGGCTTTTCCTTGCAAAACGCCTTGCTAAATGCCGCTTGTAACCTTGAGAAATAAAATTTATGGCTTTTGATTCCGATCAATATTTTTCATTTCTTAAAAAAACAAATAATATCAACACCTCAAACGTTTAATGATAAATATAAAATATTTGAAAATTTAATACACGTTAATAATTAAAATATATGTATATAAGCAATAAATATGTACCGATACAGTGTGTTAAATGTCCTCCTTTACGCCATAACCCATGGTAGTGCTCCTACTAAAGGAGGAAGATACAGAACATTCATACATACTGGCTCTCCCCAATCATGTATTAAACTAACTAACTAACTAACTATCTAATTTTATTCAGTATAAAATCCAGTACAAAAGGATCATCGGTAAAATACATGAAAACATTGAAAAAATAAAACAAAAAAGGGACAGCAATTTTGTGACGTATAACAAACAATAGTCAAAACACCCACATCAATATTATGCAATTATTCCCACTGATGAATTTCTGATCATGATACATTTGTCTATATATATAAAAGAAATCTGTTGAGAACGTCAGTCTCCGAACAGTTCATTTAATATCTAAATTTATCAAAATTATCTAAATTACAAAAACATGGTACAATATTAACAATGTATACGTCATCATAAAACTTTTCCTATCGTCTTGATAGAGTTGGGTTGCCGCGTGATTCACATATGAAATGAAACTCATCTTCAATTTTGTTATCAATACAATGTTTACATATTCTTTGAACCAAAGGCGTATTATTATATCTGCCTTTTTCGATGTGTATATTGTGGTTAGAAATTCTTAATTTACAGAACTGTCTGACTAATATATTGTTTCGAGATATTCAACTTTGTATAAGTCTCAGTTTTATATTCCCTTTTTAGCTTGTAATATGTACGTAATTTGTTTTGGTCTTCACCTGATAAACACGAGAAAAAATATTTTTCATATCTTTCTTGTAATCTTTTTTTCATTGCAGATATGAGTTTTCCTTCTGACTGTCTTCCTTTATTATTCCAGACATGGTCAAAACCAATGAATATTAGAAACTGAAAAATGTGTTTGTTAAAGGTACATGGAAAGGTACAATCAACATCTTCGATTGACTTATATGCTAATTTTGAAAAATTCAAAAGAGGGTCTTTATGCCCGTACGAAATTATAAGGCGTATTACGACTGGGAATCTGGCGTAAACCAGGCGTAAGTGGTAGTTACGTGTCCAGATCCAGGCGTAAGTGGTCGTTACGTGTCCAGATCCAGGCGTAAGGGAACAGGAAACGTAAATTTGTAGTCCTATACGGGCGTAGAAAATATGGTAAACCTGGCGTAAATTGAAATAAGCAAGGCGTAAATTTTCCTACGGGCGTAAAACTGTTGGTTTGGCGTAAATCATAATGCTTTGTTGATAAAGGATCATGGGATTTTTTTTCAAAATTTGGCTCTTTCGTTGGTATTATTTTGCAAGAGTTCGACTTATGGCAGCTTTATATATTCAGGGATAATTAAGATTGTTTTGTGCTTTTTGGAAGAATTTGAAATTGGAATTAAGGAATTATGCAATCAAATTGATTAATGAAAATTGTGAAATAAAAGGAAAGTAATATACATGATAAAAGATAATTATGTGAGTAACTAAGTTTTTTTTTAACAGTAATTTTGAATTCTGAAAACTTGCCTTCATCCTTGGATGATAACATTAAAATCTTTCACATTAAGTTAAATTGCAGTATAATCATAGATATTTTGGTTCAAATGACATTAATTTTCAAAAAAACTTAGTTAAAATGCTGGTTTTATTTCAGGAAGAATTAATGGTCATAATTCTAATTTAAACTTAAACATATTTGAGCCAGTGTCTGTCTAATATGTATTTATTTATATAGCTTCTTCAATTAATGGTTAATACTTCAAGTGTCATGTCAAACAATGAGAAATTTAAGCAATAGTACAGAAGTTTGTATCAAATACACAAAAGTACACAGCTAGGGCAATACACTGATTTAAAATAAGTGTAGTATTATGTGAGGATATTACGCCTGGTTTTTTTATTGACCAGGCGTACTCATTTGCATATAACGCCTGGTTTTCTGTGGACCAGGCGTACTCATTTAAATATTACGCATAATTTTACGCCTGGTTTCCGCCTCAGTTACGCTTGGTTTCCGCCTGGTTGACGCATGGACATGCATTCCGTAAACACTACAATGACGCCCTGATAGAGTATGATTTCTACGCCTGGTTTCCGTGTCATTTTCGGGCGTCCCATTTCGTACAGGTACAAATATAGCCAGTATTTAAGAGACTGCAAAATAACAAATATAGAAATTAATTTTGGGTAACGACCAAATTCTGCCATACTGGCAATATTAGAAGCATATTTAGTGGCACCAAGTACAAATTTACAATATCGAATGTGAAAAATTTTAAAAAGTCTTTTCTAAATCGTCATTTAAACCTGGTGTTAATCTTTTGTCCAGGTTAAGAATCATGGTACGGACCCCACAATTCACTTCCATATAGAAGTACAGGTTTAACACAGGAGTCAAAAAGTTTTAAGAGCAAAGGTGTATTATTATGTGAACAATGAAATTTACGTTTAATCATGAAAATTACTTTAAGAGCTTTCCTACTAAGATCTTCGACTGCAGTACTGAAAGAACCTGATGCTCTCATTACAATACCTATGTATTTATACTCTTGAACACTTTTGATGAGATTTTGACCAAAATAAAAAATTACAGTCTTTCAATAATTTACCTGATTTATTAAACACTATTATTTGAGTTTTTTCTATATTCAGTGATAATTGCCATTTTTTACAAATCAAATCAAATCAAATCAAATATTTTATTGTCTTATAAACTTTACAGTTTGTGACCAACATGTATTAACACAATAAACATATATACATACATATCAAACAAACACAATAAAAACAGCATCAAAATTTATAAAAACAAACAAGTTGTTAAGAGTCCCCTGCCCTCAGTTCTAATGACTTTTTCAAGAAGGATCCTAACTTATTTGTTTGTAAAGGCGTTGATGGATTTAGTAAATAATGAATTTTTTCTTCTTCATTTAAATTATTAAAGTTATTATTTTCAGTACATATGTGTTCAAAAAAGGCATTTCTTAGTGTTTTATTATAATCACAATAGAGTAAAAAATGTTTCTCATCCTCTAGTATTTTACATTTATGACAAAGTCGTTCCTCTCTTGGGATTTTAAAATATCTCCCCTTTTCAATTAAGAGGGAGTGATCACTTAGTCTAAATTTAGTGATCAATCTCCTTATCTGAAAATTAGATATATTTAGATAAGATTCTAGTTTGCAATCCTTTTTAAGTTTTTTATATAGATAAAATTTACTTTTATCATCAATGTTTTCAAATTTAGTTTCAATTAAATCTTCATATCTATTTTTCATTTTTAACTTTATATCGTTTTTTATTTTATTTACATCTTTTATGTCCTTACAATTAGAAAAAATATTAAGGTCAATATTAGTCTCTTCAACAATATTCTTTGCATATGTATACCATGAATAAGTTCCAGTCAAATCTAGAGACTGTGCTAGAGAAAAAGCTTCCTTTATCAATGGATTAATATTATTATTATATAGTCTAGCTAAATATAAAAGGGTTTGTGTTTTAATAAAACATTCTATAGGCAATCTTCCTAATTCAACTCTTGCCCCTAAATTGGATGCATTTTTTCTTATTCCTAGAGTAGATTTACAAAATTTAAGATGCATATTTTCAATAGGGGTTTTGTCTGTAAAATCAAGTTGATTAATTTGTTTTCCTGAAGATAAGGCTCTGTTTTTGGCTCTATGAAAAGAAATATATGTATCTAAATATGTTACTTCTGAATTATAGGTCATAATTGGTTTTACTAAAGAATCAAAAAGGTTATTTGCTACTTTTATAGGTAGATTATTCAATGATTTAGTATAGGATTTTATTGCAAAAAATACTTTTTTTGCCTTTTTTGTCAGCTCTAAGGTACTTTGTGATAAATTTCCATTACATTTTATCAGCATTCCCAAAAATGAATATTCTGATACGCTCTCTATGGCTTCATTCTCATAGTAAATATGTGATGTTTCACCATTTTGTTTGGACTGACTGAAAATCATGGATTTTGTTTTGTTTGTACTTAAAGAGAGTTGCCATTTGTTGCAATATAATTTAACATTATTTAAACTGTTTTGAAGACCCTCTTTCGATTCTGACAGGATCAAAAGATCATCTGCAAAAAGGAGGCATCCCACCTTACTATTTATAAGCTTAAGGGGACTTGAATCATTTCCCTCAAAATTTTTTACAATATCATTTATGAAGACATTAAATAAAGTTGGGCTGAGGGTGTCTCCTTGTTTAACCCCTCTAGCAATATTAAAAAATTCTGATACATAATCTTTGTATTTGAAAGATGATTTAGTATTTAAGTATTGTTGTTTTATAACTCTGTAAAAAGACCTGCCAACTCCCATTTTGCATAATTTATAAAGTAAAGCAGTTCTCCATACTGAATCAAAAGCCTTTTTCAGATCTATAAAGCAGGCATAAATCTTTTTTTTCTCTTTATGTAGATATTTATTAATCAAGGACTTCAATAAAAAGATGCTATCAGCTGTTCTGTGATTTTCTCTGAAACCAAACTGACAATCACTTAATTGTTTGTCAACAATCTTGATTAGCCTATTATTCAATATGGCATTAAAAAGTTTTGGTAGATTACTTATAAGAGAAATTCCTCTATAATTATTAGGGTCTAACTTGTCACCTTTTTTATGTAAAGGGATCATGAAAGATAATTTCCATGAATCTGGATAATTACCTGTCTTTAAAATCAAATTAAAAACTTTTACAATAGAATTAATTATCACAGGTTGTGAATGTTTGAGTATTTCATTCACAATTCTATCTGGACCTGCTGATTTGTTTACTTTAAGGTTTGAAATGACCAGTTTTACCTCAGCAAATGTAATTGGTGCATCAGTTTCCATATTCAAT